GATCCTGAAATGTTTCATGCTTAGTGAGTTTTTGTTTCTCTTTTCCATCTATGCTGAGTTTTCCAACTGCATGTCACTTCACTTTAAGGAAAGGAATGCTCTAAGCTGTTCTGGGTACCCTGTGTTTTGGAGCTGAATTCCATTGTTGCTCCAGATATTTTTGGGATTCAAAGGAGTCAAAAGCACTGGAGCAGAATCATCACTGTGACAGTCCTTTCACACTTCAGTGGCTCAGGTCCCCACTAAGGCACTGTGGCATCTCTGTCTGTTGTCAAAAAAATGGGGTGACAGTGTTGTCATTTTGCACAGCATCAGCCAAAACCAAGGCCTGAGAAAGAGGAACAACAAACTTTCTGCTTATATGATCTGTAGAAGTGACAGTTCCATTTACCCCTTCCCATCTCAGTCTGCTCCTAGACCCACTTACAGTGCCACATCCAGTCCTCTGCTCCTTCAGCCTGCTCTGCATGCTCTTACCCTTGGCATTCCTGTTGCCCAGTCTCTGGTGAGTGCCTTAGAGATCTGGTCTTACCTACTCCATTATAATTCCTCTCTTTCTGTACTCACAGACATTCCCTCTGCATTCAGGATGTGGAATTTTGTTTTATTCCTTCCTGGATCAAATCTTACCTCTCATCCATCCCCACAGTTAATCCCAGCTGTATGGCTGTCACTTTTTTTCTCTTGAAATGAGATAGATCTTGTCTTTTCAGTACAGATCTGCTCTGTGCCTGTGTGACTGTTCTTCCTGTCCTGGCTCATCCCCATGCTCTACCCACTCTTCTCACCTTTGCTTCTCTTCCTACTTGCACCATCATTTTTGTTCCAACCTGCCTCCTACATTTGCTTATTCTTCCCAGGCATCTTTACTCTTTTTCAGATCCCTCTCGAGCCCACTCGCTTTGTGTTGATAGCTTGTGCTCCCAGGATAGAACTTTCTTCCCTCCTCCTCATATGCCCTTCCTCAGCCCATACTTCAGAATATCAGCTTCTCTGTGATTCATTCTCCATATAGGATTTATCTTCTTTCACTTGATTCCTCACTTCCCCTCTCCACCTCTTTCAACTGGCAAACAAAATTTTCTGGTTGCCATTAAACATGACTTCAGATGTTGAACACTGAATTAAGGCCAAACAATCAGCATTCAAGGCTCAGAAGCATCATTTTGTATAAAATCTCATCATCAGCACCATAAAAAAAATATATATACTTAAGGATTTAGACAAGAAATTATTGGAGATGTACAATTGCCTGCACAGCAGCTGCTGCAGCTCTGGCAGGCTCTTTGGCCTAATTCACAAGCTGCAATGTAGACATGAGATGCCTGGACTGCCTCTATAGTCATTATTGCTGCTGCTGCTTTTCACCTGTGTGCTCTTCTCTACAGAATAATGATTCTTCAGGACTGAAGAACATGTCCCTCTCCATTTGGTCATGTTTCCTGCTGATGTTGCAACATGACAAATCCAGGAGGCAGCAAATGCAGCAGTATTGCAGGAATGGGAATTTGGATATATTGAGTTGCTGCTTTAGCAGGATTCCTGCCTAAAAACGTTGTGGTCTAGACTGTGGTCACTGTGTCTGCATGGAAAGCAGACCTGGCTGCCATAGTCTGTATAGCCATAATTGCTCTGGGATAGTCTCATGGAGCTCTCACAAACCCAACATTTACTCATGTGCTTCCTCTCTTTCTCTGATAAGGATATCTCACTTCATACTAGAGTGGGTTTACTGCCACTGTTGCTTCTTCTCCCATTCTCATGGCAGCAGGAGTGTCTGTTTCAGGTGAAGAATGACAAAATGTGCTTCCTAGGCTCACTGGAATCAACAGCTTTGTCGTGGCTTTCTCCCATCAGTACTCCTGGGTTGTTTGACCTTCCTTTAGTAATAAGGATCTGTTTCTTGGCCACTAACCTCATACAGCCCACAGAAAAGGAGGGTGGCTCCTTCCAAGGAGTTAGCTGAAGTGTGGCTGACAATGAGTCACGTGCAGCTTTCCTTGGAATAATGTGGGAGCCAGCGGATAAGGCTGCTGCTTGTGCTAGTGTAGACCCTGCACTGCTGCTCTCAGGACCCTTCTGTTTTGGTAAAATTGCTTTCTCAAGCCACAGCAGAACAGAGCAGAGCTCCAGTCTTCTATTACAGCAGAGCTTCCCTTCTCTCACTGAATGTGAGGGGTGCTGAGGTCTATTTAGAATCACTAACTCTGGTAAATAAAGTGAATAAAATAAGAAGTGCTGTCAGTTCTTCCCACAAAAAAAACTAGCGCATGAACAGGGTAAACTAAACAGCCATTCTTCTTTGTCAAAAGGGAATAAAATAAGTTCATGGCCAAATGACCCTCATTTATGAGAGAATTCCTGACAGAGGCCCAGTGCAATTGGATCTTGCCACAGCTTAGGGGATAGGACACTTCTGTTTAATGCAGTCCAAGTTTTATCAGAGATATCAAGGCCTGACTCATCAGTCTCATTTTTTAAGACTTGAAAAGTATATGGCTGTAGTTAACAGAGCTGCCTAATTACATCTTCTTCCTCAAGAAAAAGAAATCATTTTCCCTATACCCAAATGAAATCAGTACATTCAGGCTCTCACGCTATTTCCAAATGGTCCTGTTTGAAGTACAGAAAATGCTGGAATTTTGAGGCATTGTCTGTACAGACAGAAAAGGAAATGTCCTAATGAGATATGCAAAGCAGCCTGGTCTCTGGAATAGGGCACCAGATTGGGATTCAGGAAACCTGGGTTATTATCACAGCCCTGCTATTGCTTCTTGCCTTAGTGTGCTTTAGATTCCCTGCTAGCCATCTGTTTGTTACTCAGAGCAATGTACCCAGCCTTCCTGTACCCACTTAGCCTGAGAAATTTGGTGTTGTTCCACCTCTTGCTGTGCTTGATTCCTTTCTCTCTTTCCTTGACCCAGCACAAGGGGTGACTGTCCCTCCCTCACCAGCTCTACTCAAAGGTTACTTCCTTCCACTGGTGGCTGTGCTCTTGGCCTGGCAGAGCTGCCACTCACTCTGACAGCTTTGGTACTGCTGGATGTGTCCAGAGCTGCTCAGGAGCAGGCTTAGCCTCTGTTCCTGGCCCTGACAATGTGACATGGAGCACCATGGGCTGGCCTTGCATCCTGCATTGTTTATCTGCTTGTATCCTCACTGCCTGTACCATCCTTTCCTCCTTAGTTGGAAAACTGATTTGATCTGGGAGCGTGGATAACAGAGCAAAACCCCTTTTAGCTCCATTGTCCACAAGCAATAAAAGTAATAATGGTCAGTGTCCCTTCTGCAGCCAAGTGGAGAAGTTACTAAGAGAATGTTCTTCTGATTCAATTATGTCATGTGCTTTTCCATAGAAAGAGCAGAAAGAACTTTACACTGAACTGTGTGTTACTGTCATGGCTGTAGGAACCTGTGCTCACTCTGAACTAATTCTGTTGTTTGTAGTTTGAAATGAGGTCAGGATCACCTCAGTTCTGATTACTGTTAGCTGAGCATCTGCCCCTAAATCTAAATGGATCTGGTAAAACTCTTCTCCACCATAAACTTTGGACATTTTCCCCTAACTGTTAAGTCTGCCAATAAGTCTTCACAGTCCAGGGACTCCTGCTGTGATATGTGAATGAATCAGAGGCTGCTGGAATCAGGAATGGGGGCAAAGACAGTGTAGAGATAGCTATTATTTAAAGGTAATTGAGTGGAATGGGCAAAGGAACAAGCTGAAGAAAAATAGAAACCCCTCAGGATATCCACACTCTATCTTCTCCTCTGCAGATGAGACCCAGGTTCTTCATTGAGTAAGTCTGCTTTTCTGCTTCTCTCAAAAAAGAGCCTAAAACATGCACTTTTTCCTTCTAGTGCAAAACTCTGTCCATTCTGATGTGAGAAGTGTGTGTCCATTTGGGTCCTCTTCCTAAGCCTGTGCTTCATATAGTGTGTGTTTTCTGCAAAGGAAAGCTGAAGGGAAAAATTTGAATCTTGGTTCTTTGGGAACATCTCACTGCACACAGGCCCTGAAGAGCACTTTAAGTGAGAAGCAGAGAACTTTTCACTGCATCATAATGTGCACAAGTGGGAATGTAGTTATCTACTTTTAGCTCTTCTGAATTTAGCTATGAGGAATTTTGACCTATTAATCAGAATTAAGTCATTTATTTAATCATTTTCAGTCCTTCTAAGACTTGTATTCTGCTCTTTACAACTTAATTCCCATTTCCCTTTCTTTCATCCCCCCTCGCTCATTCATTGTCACTAGCACATTCCCTCTTTTTTGCCTGCAGCAGTAGAACCTAGGTTGAAGTGAGACTGGGCTGCTTAGGTGGAGACGAGATCTTACTTTAGTTGCACAGGCAAAACCTCAGGACTTTGCTACCAGCTGGCTTCTGTAAGGAAAGGTGTAAAATGCAGAAGATCCAATAAACGGACTGCTAAAATCATCAGCCTGTGTGTCACAATTAGGAAGCAAAGAAGATTTTGCATGCTCCCAGGAGTTACTGGCAGGTCTTTGGTTACAGCCAGGATTCATTTGTGAATCTGTAGATGATTCACCTAAACCTTGAGTGTGATGTTTCTGTGTTGTGCATTGCATTTGTGATCTGTATCATATAATGTGTTGCAAAATGAATGTTTTAGAAACATTGAGGCCATTTTGGGATTGTGTGCTTGCAGGGTGGTTGGTAATTCTGGAAGCATTATTTTTTCATATAATTTGAATATATTCAGAAACATTTGTTCCACCATCAATGAGAATATAGTGAGTATTCTCTTCCAGTGTCCTTTGGATATGTAAGAAAAAAGGAAAGTGACAGTTTTTGTTGGACTGATAATCTTTTCATGGATCCTCACCCAAGAAAAATTTGAAGTGTTACCATTAAGTGGGCAGGATCTGGAGTTTGAAAGTTTCTGGATCAGAGTCAAAATACAAAGTATTTTCTGATCCAAACATTGTTTGAGAGTAAGATATTTCACTGATTCTGAGTGTCTGTCTTCTGCCCATGAAGGTTACAGCAGAGTTGGATGCTTGGAATGAGGATCTGCTGAGGCAAATGAATGATTTCAATACTGAGGATCTCACTCTGGCTGAGCAGCGATTGCAGCGTCACACTGAGCGGAAACTGGCCATGAACAACATGACCTTTGAAGTCATCCAGCAAGGGCAGGACTTGCACCAATACATCATGGAGGTCCAGGCTTCAGGTGAGAGGAACAATTTGATCTCTGGTTTACATAGGAAAAAAAACCACAAAAAAGCCAAACAAACAAACAAAAAACAAAAAAAAACCAAAAACACCCACACAAAACAAGAAAATGCCCAAACCCCTAAAATGCATAGCAAGCTGAAATACTGCAGTACGTATAAAACATCCACTCAAAACAAGAAAGTGCCCAAACCCCTAAAATGCATAGCAATAGCAAGCTGAAATACTGCAGTACGTATAAAATAAGCTTTTAACATATGCAATACCTGTATCTCCATTGTCAAAGCTGCTCCACGAGTTTTGAGAATTTTGATTTAGGATTTTATGTAAAAATCTGCTGTTTCTTTGAGACTGAAACTCATTGAGACAGCAACAGAAAGGGAAGCTGAATTTCAAGTTTCATTCAGAAATTTTACAGCTGCAGGATGGAGTGTGTGATTGGCTCCAAATTGGATGGAGAGGGGAGGGCAAGACAAGCTCCTTGTCCTTGCTCCAGCTCAGAAACAAGCATCAAGAGCTATAGATCCTTGAGCTGGGCAGTCAGACCTCATGTCTGGATGCAGTCTAGTCATTCTAGACTCCTAAGTTTGATAATCTTATTGCAAATTGACTTTAGTGAGAGTCAAACTGACCAGATGGTCTGGCTTCATCCTCTACAGACTGGAGTACCTTTTCCCTGTTCCCCATTTCAGGGTGCAGACATGACCAAGGGAAGAGAGGGAGAATAAGGGGAGAAAGAATCTAGCTATCCAAGAGTCCTCTGGGAAAGAGTCCAAAAATGAGAGCCTTCAAACCAGTAATGAAATGGAAGTCTTGTTTCCAGCCAGTTCTACTTGGAATTGTAGAACTGTGGAATTCGCAAAGGGAATATGATAAATCATACTGGAATTCTCCTTTTCAGAGTGCACTTAAAGGTGGCAACTTGGGCGTAAAAAAGCCCCTTGAGGTGTGCTCTTAAATTAAAGTCTTGATTGATTTTGGTAGGGAGCCTGTTTGATTTTACACTGCTTCCCAGCGTAAGAGAATTTCTAATATGTCCTAAGAGTCAAAATTTTTATTTCCTTGAATTTTGCATCTGGAAAATGAATGCCATAATTCAGATTAATCACTGCATAAAGCCCAGAGGTGAATGTTACTTATGTAGTGCTTTAACCTTCTAAAATGTTTGGAAAGATTGCAAAGCAAGAGCAGTTCCTGTTCTTTCCCTCCTTTGAAATAAAAAGGATTTTATGGTATCATTCTTTGGCAAACATTTTACCTCTAGGCACCTTCAGAACAATCTGGCAGTATCCAGCCTGATTTGGCAGGCTGCACTCAACAGAGGCTTGAGGACTGCTTCAAGAGGATGTTGTGAACTAGATAATCTGGTGCATTCTGTGAGCCTCTCTCAGATCTACCCACATGATGCCTGGCCCTGTGCTTCAGCCGCCCTGCTTTCTAAGTTAGCAAACTAGTCCTAAGACGTTGGTTAAGATGTTTGTGCTCTTTTGTCTCTTTGTTTTTTGATGCTGAAGGAATCCATGGGAGGTAAAGAATATGATCCAGAACAGAGCACAGTCAGGAGCCTCAGTGACTGAGTTTTAGAAAATAAAATAAATTCTGTGTTTGTCAAGAAGTTAGAAACAACTCTTTTGGATTGCTGACAAAAGGTTAGCAACTCAGTGAATTGACTTGTAAAATGTTTTTGTAGGATTCTCTAAGGCCACTTCTATGAAGCCTACCCAATAAAAATCCACTGCTCTCAAAAGCAGGGAAGCAGAAGTCCCATGGGGATGTACAGAGTAACTGTAGTTAATCAAAGGTAATGGCCATGTCTAGTATGCATGGAATGCTAAATGCTGGGAGAATGGAAAAATAAAGGAGAAAGGTAGTACTTGGGAGCCCACTGCTTCTTACTTCAGTAAAGAACAGTTATACTTCATAAAAAAGTGATTGAATTTTACTCCCTTTTCCTGAATCCTTTATCATAGCCATTCAGGGCATAGGGTGGGGGATGATTCTTCTTCACTGCCAGAGCTGAAAATTTGCAGAGGTTCTGGGAAATCAGCTGCTATTGCTGCTTTCTATTGTACACTGTCACCACTGCAACAGTCAAAACTCAGCTGTACCCACAGAAGATAGAGCCTCAAAAAATGTGATTTTCCGGAGCCATTCTACCTAACCAGCCACCCTTAATTGACCAAGTTTCTTCTGTTCCCTATAACTCTCTTTGAGCTTTATTGTTTTCAACATGCCACACAGGAGACTGACTTGGTTTTGATCACTCTCATTTGTCTTGAGGTCTTTAAGCCAGCAAGTCTGTCAGATAAAATTACATCTACATGCTGCCATTTAGGATGTCTTTTTCACTTGGAAGGCTTGAGGAGGTAGAAAAAGAAGGTTTTGGACATTCAGCTATGATTTTTGCATGTCTGATGCAGACTTGGAGCACTGACCCTTACTAGGCTGTGGTGTGTGTGGCAATCCCTGTGAACATTCTTATGTTGGTACAATAAATGCAGTGGTTCTGTGATGCACCAGGTCAGACTCTGGATATTGAGGGCATCCACACAATCAGGCTTTTCTGTAAGCCCAGTATTTCCAAAGTTCCCTCCAGCTCAGGGTTACATTCCTGTGATTCCAGCACATGTGAGTGAGCCTGGATTGGACTGTTTTCTCCATCAGAATAATTATTTTTTGAAGAAATGTTTGGTTTTGTTAGGGAAATAGGTAAGATCTGGAAGTCAGGTTGCATTTCCTGAAATTTTGCAGTACTTGCAAATTGTTGCTAAACTCTGTGTCAATCAGGAAACATATTTGTATGTAGAGAATGTTATGGTAATATTCTCAGCAAGACTGGAGTTTCTAATGAGCCAGCCCTTTTTGTTTCAAGGAACCTATCTGCTATTTTTCCTATTTGATTATAGCTCTACTGCTGATAACAAAGCTAAATATGTGCATAAATACTCTCAGAAATGGTTATTGATTTTTCTGGATGCCTAACTCAATACATTGAAGGAGCTGGCATTTCCAAAAGTGACAACTTGGGCAATTCTGAGAATCCCATTTCCCAGAGAAAGTTTAGGAAAATTATTCAGGAGTAATTCAGCACTTGGGCCCAGGCTGTGGTGGTGATGTGCTCAGGTAATTTATTAGCACATGCACATTAGTTAGTCTGATTCTAGGCATTAAAAGCAGTTACACTCTAATACCTTGTTAATTGATTGTGCAAATTTATTTGATTAATAAAGTCCACTTACATTGTCAATATCATTGTCACAATGAGCCCCCACTTGGGGGGTCTCTAATAGTTCACAGAGCTCCTTTTTATATCTTAGATAAATTGCTTCTAAGTCAAACCTGAAATGCACAGTAGAGCTGAAAATGGGGATATTTATTCAGTACCTGCCTGCTACGTGTAAAATTTGAAGTACTTTTGCTTCCTGGTCATCAAGCTAACATTGTTCACCTCTTTTCCAAGTGTTGCATTGCTTAAAAGGGAAGCAGAAATCCATTTCATTTGCTTTGTGATGTCCTTTATAGTTAATTACAACTGTAGTTTATATTTCAAAGAAGATAATATAAACTCTGCTATCACAGAGTTTACTCTTACTATTTCAGCATAAAGCAGGTTTAAAGCAGTTTGAGAACAGTTTTGTACAGGTTAAAAAGCAAGACTTCCCTAGGCTTCCTTTGCTAGACTGAATTGTATCTCACATTGCAAGCAGTTCAGGTGTCACTAATGTATTTTTTGTAGGATGCCATTTAGTGTGGCTCAGTACTCTTTCCGGCAGGATTTTTGAAAAACATTTTCAATTCAGTATCACTCACTTGACATCTGCTGCACTGTTTGAAGCAGTAGAAGAAAATGGCAACCAAGTTCATTTTATCAGAAAGTCAGCTGTGCTTCCCTAGCTGTCAAAACACAATGTAAAGATAATATGTATGAAATTATTCGGGAAACAAGGCTTTCTATTTTGCCAACCAGTACTCAAGAAGAAAAAGCGCTCTCACCGCATGTGCTGGCACCACAGAATAAATCTGCATGACATATGACAAGCAGGAAAGGGCAGATCATTCATCATGGGGAGCACACACTGCCCTTGGATAGCATCCCAGGCAGTTCCCTGGTTGCTGCTGATGAGTTAGCACGATCAGAGCTGCACCAGCTGAGTGTGCGGGAGGGAAAGCTGTGCATTTAATACCCAATAGGTGTGGTGAAGTCAAGCATACAAAAAGCCATCATGTCCTCAGGATACAGAACCATATGCAGGCTAATTGCAGCAACAATGCCTGGTGTCTGGCAATTGAAAAGAACTTCACTCCCAAGAATAGAAACATATATTAAATTTCCAGTTTTAAATGGGAAGCCAGGGGCCATTCCACTTTATTTGGTAATGAAGGAACTGTTTTGTTTTGGCTGGGAAAGGGAATAAGCCAATCATTTGCATTCCCATGTGCTTTTTCTGATAAAACCAGAAACCAGGAAAAGGGATAGGGATAGGGTTAGTAATAAGGTTTGTGTTTATTTTGTGTGCTGTACTGTGTAGTTACCACTGACTGAAAGTCATGAGTCTCTGAGGAGGAGAAAAAGGGAGGTAAAGACAACTTTCTATATGGTTTTCAAAAATAGTGTGCAAGACTTTTTTCAGCAGCTTCTAATTAACACATTTCTGTTTAAATGCTGTATTATTCTGTTAAATCAAATGGCTTCGGAGGAAAGTGCAGTCTTTTCTCAGCATTACTGCAATCATATTATTTTTATGTTGGGTTCCTTATCCTTCCTGCTTTGAGGCCAATGGCAAAATTCCAGTAGACCTTCATAAGGGAAGAGTCAAGTCTTTATTAGTTTGCAATCCCAGGGACTGCAGTAGCACAGAATGACATCATATTTCCCCCAGGCCAAACCTTCCAGTTGTACTGGTGGCAAGCCCAACGTCACAGTCACATCAGTGGCACCCAGAAGGAAGATGTGCAGCTCTGCTCTGTCTTTCATGTAAATACTACACACAAGGTTCACAGTGTCAGAAAAACATTCAGGAGGTATGAAGGGCCTCAGGAAGTCTCTAGTTCAATCGCCTCATCAAGTCAGGGCCATGAAATCAGACTGGGCCTTTGAGGGGTTAGCAAGTTCATGTACAATGCAAGGAAGGGGGATGAGGTACTAAGACACCTTTTCTGAGTGCTGTGTGAGGATTGGACAAAAGTTAGTCTGTGAAATAATTCCGAATGAAATAAAATCTGATTTAAACTAATTCATTGTTGATGATACTCTACAAGCATCCAGATAGAAAATGGTTTTCTCTATGGAGTTTCCTGCACTTATAGCAAGCACTACTGTAGATCTATTTGACTTCTCTGTTTTCTTATCTCTTTTCTCTTCTAGTTGTTTTTTGGGTTTTTTTTCAACATTCATTATAGGTTTATTAATTACCCTAAAAACTGAGGATTTTTCTGTCTTTTTTTTTTAATTTGATGTTCATGCAAGTTTTTGAACAAGACTGTGCTTAAGTCAGTCTGACTGTTCAGATGCTGATGAGTCAGATGAGCAATGACCACCAAAGAAACACCACTTTGTAGAAAAAAGTAGTGATGAAGATTAGGGAGCTGTGAAAGCCAAGTATTACATGTGAGAAAGTTAAGTGAGAAAGAATTACTCAGACAGTTGCAAATAACTTGTTAAGTGGCAAAAAATTTTGAAGCTTCCAGTTATGCAAAATTGAAATTTCAAGTGCAATAATCTCTCTCTCTCTCTGCGTGTTACAGGCATTGAGCTGATCTGTGAAAAAGACATTGATCTTGCAACCCAGGTTCAAGAGCTGCTGGAATTCCTTCACGAGAAACAGCACGAGCTGGAGCTGAATGCTGACCAAACTCACAAGAGGTTAGAGCAGTGCCTGCAGCTCCGGCACCTCCAGGCTGAGGTCAAGCAGGTGAGAGTTTTTAACCACACGTGAGGGGTTTTCAGTCATTACATACATTCACACTGCTAAGCCAGTGTCTGCCAAACCTTTAGGTGGGCAGTCTAAATCCCCCTTTTCTTAGCAGTACTTGATTTGCTGACAGGTTACAGAATGGCCCTTTACAAATAAGAAGGGGCTCTGCTCTCCCAAGTGTGCATGTTTTTGGCTTCATGTGTAGTTACAGGAATTCTGTGCAGAACTGACCACATGCCTTCTCAACTGGAGAAATGGCCTCAGACTCCAAGTGCTCTGGGAATATAATTATTTGATTTGTGACCCAGACTTAAGCTGAGGTGGGAAAACAGGCCCAAAGCAAAGGAAACTGAGCTGTGAGGCCTAAATATGAGATTATGATAGTTTCACCTTTTCATTTATTGCTATACATCTGTTGTCTTGCAGGAATCTTTTAACATCTTCCAGTGATTAAAAAAATCTATCAGTGGTCTCTAGATCCCAGGACTTGTTTAGACCTCTTAGTAGTATTAAACTGCCTTTCTTTCAGATATCATCCTAGCATAGGAGTCATGTTCTGCCTCCCTTGGTTTTCCCTAATATTTAATTTGGATGCCTCATGTTTCTTTGTTTCCCTTTGCTGCACAGGATAACATTACACTTCCTGCTTCCTAGCCCATAGGTGGCTTCACACTCTAGTGTATGTCTGTCTTTTTATTGAATGTTCTTGATTTCATCAGGAAAACCAAGAATGTTTTTCCAGACATCTGGAATATTCAGTTTTCCATTTTCCTATACAAATAGGTAGGTTTGGAGGTGGTGCTAGGACAAGTGTCCAAATACTACAAGGTAGTGAAGATAAAGAGATCTGCTCATTTGTTTACTTAAACACATACACACACTCTCTGAATGCTCAGTACATGTGATCATATATATTCACTTTTAAAGACAGAATAACTGAGTGATGCTTTATCTGAATTGATTTATTGTGTCCAGCAAAAGAAATCCTTCACACTCAACAAACTGGCAGCACTAACAGCAGTGTATACATTTTCTTTCAAAATCCTCTTTGATGTGAATATTTTTCAACTCTACCTAAAAGTAGCATAGAACTCTCCAAATTTTTATTTTTAAAATATGGTCATTTTGCATTTGTGATTATTGAAGATCAGCTCTTCACAAAGTTCTGGAGCTCTGTAGACTGCTTGGCTTTTTTTTCTGAAAAAAAAAAGAAAAAAAAGAAAACAAACCAAGCAAAATCCAAAAACACTTTGTGATATTTATAACCACCATCTTACCATGGTTATGAAGTATATACGTTTTTTTTTCCTATAGGTTCCTGAAGTTTCGTAGCTTAGCTAAGCCTGGAGGTGTATGTGATAGATTTATGGTAAAGCAGAGCCACTTTAACTTATGACAGAAAGCAGAGAGGAGGTATGTGTGTAGGAGAAAGGCTAGAGCTGCAGGTTGCCCACTTGTCTGGGATGAAGTGCACTCAGCCCTGTGGCTGCTCCTGCAGCCCTTCAATGGCAGTGCAGCACTTTCTGCAGGTACCTGATGTTATTTGCCTTATTATCAAATATCTGTTGGTCCTTAATTATTTTACAACTGAAATCTCCCCAAAGGAAGTGGTTATAGGACTGGGCTAATACTTACTGTGAGAGAACAGCTGCCTTGAATTAGTATTTCCTTAACACAGCTTGGGACCATCAGAGCCTTTGTTATGTGACCTCCCAGCAAACCAGTAGTGAAAAAACATTTTATTTGTTCAGCTGAATACTAAGCACCCCTTTGCTTGTTAACCTATAAATTACCACTGCTACAATCTCCCTTAGAAAGAGGCAAGTTAAAATATTTCAGCGTCTTATCTATTTGGATTCCTGTAGATGAGTCATATTCCCAACCATTCAGTGAAATTGGGAAATGTATTGATTTTGGCTTGCAGTTCATCTCCAGTCTGGTCCAGGTTTCCTTCACTTTCAGTTTAGTGCATCTGAGATGATGGATGATCTCATTACCAAATTGCTCTTTCTCTTGTGAATGAGTTGAGATGTGGTTGTTGCAAGACACCTCCTGTAGCTGTGTTAAGTTCTGCTGACAGAGTAAAATTGGTCAAAGCTGCTACATGTACATGTGTTTGCATTTTGATATAATGGCTCATGGAAATAAAAAGTCTTTAAACTGTCTCTATCTATTTAAGTTTCATTTACCAGAGATTTCTGCTTTATATCATATGCACCAAGGGTCTGAATGCCAAGACAATGAATTGAAGTTTGGGGCCATTAAAGTGGAACAATTCCAAATGAGATGTTCTGTGAACTGCTTTAGAGGGGAAATGGTAAAGATCAGTAATTCACAAGGTCTTTGTTATTAAGAAAAATTCTGCCCAAGCCTGATTTTCCCTCATTTGGATCCTACTCATTTCTGACAGAAACTATAGAGCTTGGACTGCTTACATAAAAGTAATAACAGAATAGATTTGTGGAGACCAGTTTAAAAAAACAAACTCTAATGCTGTGCCTGCAGCTGTTTGGCTTCCCTATCCCCTTAATTTATCTTTCTATGGTTTGGGCTTTTTTTTTTTTTAATAAGTTTTGAACTTGACCTAATTTGCTCCAAGATATCCTCAAGGTGTCCCACTATACTTGCTTTCCATGTTGTTTTGAAGTATATTTAATCCTTTTAATGTGCTTGTTATCCATCTATTTTTGCTGTTTGGCATTAGATTTGCTTCAAAATATATATGCCCAAAGGATGATGGGAAGTAGTAATTTGAGAGAGATCCTGAATATGTTTGTTTTTTCCTAATCTAATGTCAAATAGCTCCTGGAAAATGGATGAAGTTTTAAACATGGTTAAAATTACAAGAAGCTGTCCTTGATGGTTGGGTCTGTGTTAGTAAAAGCTTCTGAAGGAAGCTGCAAAGGGTCTGGAGGTGTAAAAGATTCACTTAGATTGTTTTCTCTTCTAAACTTAAAAATCTTTTCTTATCTGACTGGAAAGGTATCTATAGCAAGGCCTTAACTCTTTTTTAGAAACATGAAGAAACATTTTCAGAAACATTCTGACTAAACTGAGCAGTAGGCAAAAGCACTGCATGGTACAGAGCTCTCATTTCTTAAGGGTGGCTGCACAAGGGGTGCCTCAGTCTTTATTTTTCCTGTGGTCTGACTCCATGCTCAGTGAAGATGGCAGAGTTCCAGGGAAGAAATTAGGAGCTTTAGAAGAATTTGGTACTATTATTTAATTACAGAGAATCCCTGTACAGGAGCATAGCCTCTCTAAAGCAAATTGGAGTCAAAGGTGGGAGCTGTTTCAGAGTTGTGGTGGTTGCCCTGTTAAACAACGCATGCCTTGAAGTAAAACTGTTCTCCAGTGGCAAGTGGCTTTTATATAAGAGCCCATAAAATTGTTTCTGCTTCTCTGCTATAAAAAAAATTGTTAGGATATATAAGAAAGTCTTTGAAGATTTATTTAACACCAGAATTATTTAATCATTGCTTCTACAAAGCTGATAAAATCTGTAAATTTGTAGAAAATATCTTTTTAAAGTTGTCTTTTAGGGTTAGCCTGTCTGCCTATTGCTAAATAATGGTGAAACTATTAATACAGGAAATAGCCATAGAAGTGCTTTGGTCCTATATTAGGAGCTTTTCTATATGTTTTAATGAAAAGGTATTTAAGCACTATATGAGTGGAGGTCACTTTGTGAGCAGGTCTTGCAAACCAGATACAAATGTGTAAATGCCCCCTTCCAGCCAGTTCCAAGCCAGGGACACAAGGAATGTCTCTGCAAGGGTTTTGAACTTAGACTTAAGAAGCTTTGGTTGTGCAACTGCATTTTTTTTCCTTACTGTATGGAAGCAACACAAGAGAGAAGCATTACTATGAAAATAGCCAATGCAAATCTCAGATGAGTCTCCAACATTGAAGTGCCAGACTTGTTAAAGTAGAAAAGGGTCACTGTGTAAATTCTTCCAAGAAAAATTTGCTAGTGCTTGGGTGCTCCTTGGGCCTGAAAAGGAGGATGTAGGAACCCCAGAATGGGTGTCCAAGCCTACAGTCTGGGGGAAGGAGAGGGGGCAGCTGCTCAGGGGTGGCTGCAGCCTTGGTCAGGAGCAGTGCTGCCAGCATTGCTGACACATGGAATCCACCAGTCCACCTGAACTGCTTTCCCCTGGATAATTTGAGTCTACAAGACTCTAGAAAAGAGGGGTCAATATGTGTTGTCAACATAAGAGGAAACCTGGCAGACTGGTTGTGTGGTCCCTCTTCCTAATCAAGTTGTTTTGTTTTAAGATTGAACTTCCATGTATTTTTTCCTGATGCTTTGCTATTTAGAGGTTCAGATATTTGTGTGAAATCTGTGTCAAACTGTCTCTGTCATTTTTTTTAAAACTTAGCTGAAATGAAAGATGTTCCACAGAGGGAAAAAAAAAAAAAAAACAACAACTGTATTTTTAGCATACACACTCAGTATTTTCTGCATTCCAAATAGTCCAAGACTGGGTGTATTGCAGTATATAAAACATGAAAGCAAGTCTTGCCTCATGATGTCCTCAATGCAAGCCTTTCCCAGGTACAGTGATTCTTTGGTTAACTTCAGAGTTTGGTACCATATAGTTGGTAATAATGCAAGGTTCAAGTCTGATGGATTATAGAAGATGTCAGACAATACAATTTCCACATAATAACTCAACTGCTTTTTCTTTAAATGTGTGAACAATTACACAGGAACAATTACACCTGCTGATGAAAGAGAAATGAATTAAATTAAATCTTCCACACTGTTGTACTGAGCAGAATGTAATTTCCTACAAATTAGGGTCAGGTACATGTATAGATGTCTCCCCTTTTTCTCCTAGGGAAAACTCATTTTTTACCCTACAGGGAACTAAATGGCTCTAACTAGGGTGATGCGTGATGTAGGGATGAAAAACAAAGCAATAAAAAAAAATCCCTGTTTCCTCCAGGCAATTAATAAATCACTTGTAGAAAATGATAGTACAAAAGGGAAATTGCTATGTAGACTATTGCAGCAAAGTCAATTTTGGAAATCACAAGCTAAATTTAGGGCAGTGATTGAGCAGTCAGGATTTCCTGTGGATCTGTGAATTGGACTCAGCAACTTTCTGGCTTTATTTGACTAATATGACACTTTCACAGGTAGAAAAAAGTCTTTGGGGCCACACAGGAAAGAACTTGCATGTGTGTTCTGGGTGCTAATTTCTTAAACACGTGTCTTAAAATAGCAGAAAATGTTGCTGCTTAAATGAGCGAGTAAAAGCTTGATGGATTAATTATGTACATTTAGGATGTGATTCTGCCATCATTACAGCATCGATTGCATGTCTACAAGTAATTTTAACATGTCTGAAGTAAAGCCTCTTGATTAAACACAAAATGCAAGATTTGACATTTTTTCTTAGCTGTGTGCAGGTGGAAACTCCAACTGCATCTTAACTCCATGCCAAATGAATCCAACTGTGTCCTCTCCCTTCTCCCCCCAAACTCAGATTTTTGTGTGAAAGACACACAGCCAAGTGAAGCAGAAAAGTGTTGCAACATCTATGATTCCAGTCGGAAATTTGAAAATATGTTTAAATTCAAATCTCCCTCATTATGCTTTGTGGTTTTGCCCTGGGGTATTTGCATAGGGGCCCATTCATTTTTGTGATCAGACCTTGAAGATGAGTGTACTTTGCTATCCAAATGTCCATGTAAAGGGAGTTAAATTCTTCAAGCAATAACTTTTTCAATAAGATCTTTGCCTCTTAAAACTGTTTGCCATTAAGACGTTATGCTAGGATTTCTTTCTGTTCACAGCTTCAGCCTGAGACCACACTTGTTCAGTCAGGCTGAAGCATTTTCTCGTAGGTGACTGCATAAACCCAGTTTGTGAAGGCACCTTTCAATGAGCACATCCTCTGTTTGCAGGTGCTTGGCTGGATCAGGAACGGGGAGTCGATGCTCAACGCCAGCCTGGTCAATGCCAGCTCCCTCTCGGAGGCTGAGCAGCTCCAGCGAGAGCACGAGCAGTTCCAGCTGGCAATAGAGGTAACCAACAACTTCACTTTGTTTCTCCTTTCCAGGTGAACATCACGCTAAAGGTTATCTCATGGGCATCAGTCATGGTTTTCTTGAAGGAATTTAGAGAATCAACTTATCATTAAACTCATAATGTAGCCAGCAGCTAATAGTGAAACAAATTATTTATCACCTGCACCTAATTCTTCTGCTGCAAGATATCAGCTTTGCCATCCATGAAAATGACACTCGGGCATCTCCTGACAATTTTCTTGATAAAAAATTAAGAAGATTAAAATTCATAAAGTGATCTGAAATGGGAAAAGTTTGTCAAGTTAGTTTTTTTTCCACATCCACAGTCTGGAGGTCACTCCACAGCATTGATTTGGGTATATTTTTTTACTGGATAATGCTGTTGCGCTAAATAATCTTTCATTCAGCTTTCCTTTCATGAACACCAGAAAAGAAACTCATTCCAACCCTCGCCCTCAAACAACTTTGACAAAGAGGCAAGAGGGGCAATTTTTAAAAATTGACTCCTAAACTGCTTTTCCCCCTTCTTGCTCTGGAGAAGCAACACATCTCTGACCTGGCCCTTGGAAAGTGTTTGTGCGCCAACCCATTTGCCTCACTCACAGGGCCAGGAGGAACACCCCCTGCTCTGAGCAGCTTTCTTTTGAATGAGAAGGTAGTGAAGGGCTAAGGTCTGCCCTGAGCAGGGTGCTAAAAGATTCCTGCTTAAGCTCAGTGCTTCATGTATCTCTGTTATTGTGAGCAAACCCTCACAGGGTGTGCTCATGCCAGTTGCTAGAAAGAGCTTGCTTTCTAGCATTGTTTTGTCCTGTTCCAGCTTAAAAAATATGTGTGCTTCCCAGATTATATTGATTGTTAGTTTTTTACAGAGAAAAGAACAGCTGAAAAATACCCTTATACTTGAAAACTAAACCAGACTTTAAACTCTGCAAGTATGGAGATTTGAAGAGATGCCTGAGTGGAGGTGGGAGGTGGGGGGAAGAGGAAGGGATGTCTCCTGGTAAACTTGAAGTTAGTCAATATACATTACAGTGATGCTAATAAGTATAGAGTTTAAATATCAGCTAATGACTTATTTTGGTCCAGCTCTGCTCAGAGTAATGAAGGAGCAGCTGTTGCAGCTCCTAAAGGAAAAGCAAGAGTTTTTTATCAATTCTGTATGAGCTGGCTGGTACCAAGCTGTGCTGACCACATCTTGGCAGCCACCACCAGACAGCAGTGGGGAACAAGACACCCACTGGCTGAGTTATCACAGCTTCTGACATTGGGGAAGTGCTTGCTTTTGGTGGTGAATGCAAATTGCAGAGGGAGAAGAGGGTTACACCATAGTGAGGGGAAATAAGTTTTCAAAAAAGAAAAAAACATTAGATTAAATATTTAAAGTATTTAGAGCTCAATATGGGGAAGAGATCAGCAAAGCACATGAGGCAGACTGTTCTCTAAAAGCATTCTAGATGTGGAATTGATTTTCAGTTGAAATCCTTCAAAGTCTATTTCAAACAAGTATTACAATTCTAACATCAGTAAAGCAGCTGGATATTAAATTTAACCAGTTGTTCTTGAACATCTTCCTAAGTTTCTGCCAAGTATTAATCCTTTTTGTTTCCTAATAGCTTTCTCTACATTGCATTATTCATCAGTGTATTGCCAGATGATTTCAAGCTTTTTTCCAGGTTCATGGCTTAGATCATAAAACTATCACATGAGAATTTGTCAGCAGCAGTTACAAATGGAACATAACACAGAGGAGTCTGAGATTTTAGGGCTTCTGTTTAGAAGATTAAAATCAAATACTGGACTTAACCATGTCTGAACAGTTGCTCAGGAGGCTGGGAAGGGATGGGGGCTATTTTAGCAGTCCACAGAGGAAGACATAGTTGGTAACTCTGAGAGGAGCTGGTATAGGCTGAGGAGTGGGGCAGATAACTCAGTCCTGCCTGTTAAGTGGCTACAGAGTAAACTGGGGAATGGTGGAAGGAATGGTTTGACTCTCCCCAGCTCTAACCTTAAAGGTAGGAGCATAAGTCTAATCTCCAGTATGAGTCAACTGACTTCCAGAAATGCATCTTGTAGGGGCTGCTGCTTGTGATAAGTTCATGCCCTTTAGTAAGACATCTTATTTTCTGGGATTGATGTTTTGAACAACTGCACAAGTAAAGCTGCTGATGCCAGGTAAACTGCCTGGCAAGAGCCAAATTGGGGTGATTAGGCCCATGGTTTGCCAGCTGTTCAGAGTTTGCTTTTGGGCTGCAGGTTGTGTGGGATGCAGTCAGCACTGAGGTGGGTGAGAGCTCAGTGAGAGCTGCCTGCACCAGGCAGTCAGAATGAACCCCTGGGGACCCCACCCCATGTTACTGCCCAAGGGGCAGTAGCTGACCAGTGGAGCCAATCCATCTCAGCAGTGCTTACATGTTCCAAGCTTTATTAACGTGTTGCAAATTTGTGTGAATAACTGAAACTAAAATGCTTTGCAGAAAGTGACTGTTAACTGAAGATAATTCTGAAAATATTTCACTCTCTCGCATCCCCATGCTCACGCCTCGCTTCACCTTTCTACCATACATCTGGCACATCTGTACAACCTCTCTTTCCTCCCCTCATACACAGTCCCTCTTTCATGCCACTTCCTTACAGAAGACACACCAGAGTGCCCTGCAGGTCCAGCAGAAGGCCGAAGTGTTGCTGCAGGCTGGACATTATGATGCTGATGCCATCAGAGAATGTGCTGAGAAGGTGGCCCTGCACTGGCAGCAGCTGATGCTGAAGATGGAGGACAGGCTCAAACTCGTCAATGCCTCTGTGGCCTTTTATAAAACCTCTGAGCAGGTGAGCTGGACAGGGCCATTTCTGAGCCATAGGAAACCAAGTCTGAATCAGTAAAAATTCTTTCTTTGACAAGTAGTGCAACAAAAAAAAAAAAAAAAACAAAAAAAAAAAAAAAAAAAAACCAAAAAAAACAAAAAAAACCCAAAAAAAATTCCAAAAAAAATTTAAAAAAATCCACAAAAAACCCAAAAACATATCCCATTCACCCCTCAAAAAAGATAAAAAAGAGCAGCAAGCAGTTTGTAATAACTTTCATCTCAAAGTTTTCAGTGTAGCGATGTAATTCTTGAAGGTGCTGTTTTTGTTGGGGTTTTTTCAATTTTCCCTTTTCAAACAGGAAAAATTTTGAAATCCCACTTTTGTTTCAAGTTCTCATGATACTTAGTTTTGAGGAATATAAATCTGATTTTCCTTGAGAACTGCTTACAATTAATTGTTACTTTGTGAGCCAATGTTTTCACTAGTACTTAAATACCACCATGCCAAAAAAGATGCCAAGATTTGAAGGGATTTCTCTTAAATCCACCTGCAACACACATAATTACAGCAGGAGCCCATTATATGCTATCCCAACTCTACTTCATTCCAGGTGTTCATGAATTGCAAAACACATTCCAGTTGGCTGCTGGCATGGTGGGATTATTCATCCCTTGCACAAGCAGGTGCCCTTCATACTGTAGTCAGTGGGAATTAGTGTCACAGTGTGGCTACTCAAGCAGCCTTGCCTGATGTCATTTACTGCAGCCAAGCAGTTGGTGTTAGCAGGGACACTGCAGGAACCTGTGGTTTTGCATAAAAGGCAGCAGTGATTGCCAGGACATTTTCTATTGTTATTGTCACACAGTTAGGTCCTCAATTAGAGAACCAGACATGGGAAGATTTTTAGCACAACTAGATATGTCATTAGGGAAAGAGTGTACTTTTCCTTAACTTGGAGGCTGTAGATGCTCCTTGGGTGACTTTTTGGTGTTATTTGTTTAATGTATTTTTAAGACTGTTTAAGAGGAATGCATTCCTTATAATTAATGTATTTCACTGTGAAGAGTTTCAAACAGATTTACAGTCCCTGATGCATTCAAGATCAAAATGAATTATGCTGATGGAGGAGTGTGAGAAATGAGAAAATTGTTAGGGGATTCATTAGAGCTTTAGACAGTTAAATGTACTGGCCAAAATATGTATTGGCAGTAATTTATCAGTTCAGTCTCTCTTCTTGTTTCCAAGTCTCAGACAAGCACACTGCAGTGCCTACCAGTTAATTCATTGGTTGTGTCTATTCAGCAAATGTGCAGGGCAAAGATCACTCAGACTTTGAATGCTCATGAACTCCTGCTGCAAGCCTGTCATCTTCTCTTGGGCTGCACAGCTGATCTACAGTCCTTAAGGGTCTGCTCCGTGACTGCCTGACAGTGAAATGAATCATTTACTGCATCCTGAATTCTCTGAGTATCCAGAAAAAGGAGCAAAAAGAACAGTGTCACATGCAGCCAAACTTTTTCATGCCTGTCTTCCCCAAGTATATTATGTTCTTGATATTAGTGGTGAAGCTCTGGATTTCAAATAGCCCAGTTTTTCTCTGACTTCATTGACAGCCCATTTTATATTCGCTTCTCTCATCACCTTAACAAAAAGACAATCTTTGCATGTGCAGGGACAATTCTTCCTGGAAATATGTGAATCTCAGGCAGTCCATTTATTTTCATTCTTTAAATCACCGAAGTCCAATAGAATGTCAAGATTTTCAAAAAGTGAAATGGAAATGCTTTTCTGTGCCTACATGACACGTGAAGCACTTACTCTTCACTAAATGTTTGAGGGTGAATGCTGGTTTGCATCCAAGCAAGAAAATAATTTTAGATTGCCAAGTGCATAAGGTCCTTGCAGAATGCATAGTGCACAAGCCTGGCAGCAGGATCAGTTATCAGCTCACCTTTACTCACAAGTTCTAAAGTGGACTTCTATGTGCTCTTGATCAGATTTACATGAAAATGGCCTGTGATAGTGGGGATGATTGAGGGGTAATTCTGGAGTCTCCTTCAGGCTGTGCACTTAATAATATGGGTTTCCCTGAATTATAACTGTGTTTGTATTAAAGCTGCAAGAGTGAGCAAGAAAAGGATGGACATTGTTACTTGGATCCCAGCAGTAACTGACTGGGTCATCTCAACAGTGGAGTCTGTAGGAAGAGCCCTTTGGGAAAGAAGAAGAAAGTTCCAAATGTCTTGGAAAACTTTTGCTGTGTCTGCACAGGCCACTGAGAATATTCTCAGGATATGCAACATAAAAAACTCAGCCTTGTCTGAGGCAACTGCCTAATTTCCAGGCTGTGTTGGTTTATTTACCTGATTTCCACTGTTCCACTATTCTACCAAGACAGAACATATGTGTGTGAGCCCAGTGCAGTGGAGCACCTGCATCCATCTAGATTGTGACCCTGATTTAAAGTATATTGGTTTCCATCAGCCTTTTAAAAAGCTGTATAGGGAGCAACTAAAATATAGCTGAAGAGAATTAATTCCAGCTTCAGACTTTGTTTCAGGAAAGTATTTAAGCATGTGCTTTTTTTTAAGTATGTGTTAAGTCCCTTGACTTCAGTAGGATTTAAACACGTTCTAGAATAGGGATTGTTTCCTCAATGATCCACTGGGGCTGGAGCAACTCCTGCCTTGATTCAACCTTTTGTGCTTCCTCCGTTCATTAGAAGAGAAGAATGATTTATCAGCCTTAAACCAGATAAATTGTATCCCAAACAGATCCCTACGGGTAAGAAAAACACCTTGATCGTTCTGTCTAGGGCCTGTTTTATACCCAGTTACCCCCATGCTGTGGCCCATAGCACAAAAACGAAATGTCATTTGTCACAGACTTTCACTGAATGTTCTCCTGGTTATGATTGTGGATAACTGAGTTGTGCTGTGGGCATGTTTCAGGTGTGCAGCGTGTTAGAGAGTCTGGAGCAGGAGTACAGACGGGATGAAGACTGGTGTGGAGGCCGAGATAAACTTGGGCCAGCAGCTGAGATAGACCATGTCATCCCTCTGATCAGCAAACATCTGGAACAGAAGGAGGCTTTTCTCAAGGTCTAATTTTCGTTCTCTAATGAATTAGGAAAACTTTCCATTAAGTAGACAATTTAGAGCAGTGTTGGTAAGATTGAGAGGATGCTCTGATGTGTAATTTAGTTCAGCTACTGGCTGGCTGTATAAACCCTAGGCCAATTTTACTTTGTTGTAGCAAGGGTAATGAGCATTATTATTAATACATATCTCAGAGAGATGCCATCAAGACCAGTTAGGTGGTGTTTACACTTGGAGGATGTTAGTTGTTGTGCTGGTTCAAAGTTCAGTTCTTAAAATAAATGACAGGTATTAATCAAGACCAGTTAGGTGGTGTTTACGCTTGGAGGATAAGTGCTGGTTCATCTTGGAGGTTGTGCTGGTTCAAAGTTCAGTTCTTAAAATAAATGACAGGTATTACACATCATTTTGGTGTTGGCTTGTACAAACCATCATTTCAGATGCTTTGACCATCTAAAAACCATGCTTCTACAACCAGCATTTCAGGTTTTGTCCTCCAAGCCAATAACTGAAGAACTAATAATAACTGAAGCAATTTTGTCTCTGCAAGGCAGCACCAAGATGGAGACAGAAATTTGTTCCTGCCTTCCAGGTGTTGCTTTGGAAGAAACAGGGATCTCCCAGGCTGACAAGTGAACTGTCGGCCAGCCTCCCGCTGCCACTAAAACTGATACACAGCATGCAACTACACTTGCAGTCAAGGCTTAAGAAATTACACCTCTAGATCTGAACATTTTTTGAAACAATGAGTACTTTTCTTGAGAGATGGTTTAGATTTGGTTAGGCAGAAAATGTGTGAAGTTCCAGTTTTTAACAAGCAGTTGTTTTCTTACTGTCATTAATTTGCCTTAATATATAAAATTAATTGCTGTATTAAATATTACTCATGTTTTAATATGTCTGCGAGACTGTTAGTTTATTAGCTGAGTTTATTGACTTTTAGCTAAAGTTCTCATTTCCCAGAAAGAGAACTTCTCCTTGCAATATAAGCAAGAACTCCTTTGGTTCGCTTTGCTTTCTTTGCTCATCTTTACTGATTCTTTTTGGTGGGGGCTATTCTTCCTAGGCCTGCACCCTGGCCCGGAGGAACGCCGAGGTATTCCTCAAGTACATCCACAGGAACAACGTCAGCATGCCCGGGGTGGCCAGCCACACCAGAGGGCCCGAGCAGCAGGTCAAAGGTTGGTGCAGCAACAGCACTGAAGGTCTGGTTTGCCTCCCTCTCTACAGGGGAGTCCTTCTAAAGTCTGTGAATGTCTTCAGAAGGCAAACTCCGTTCTAGTGTCATTTCCTTTACCAGATCACTCTGCAACTACTCTTGCTTTGTGGTGGTTTCTTGTATGTGCAGTTTGGGGGTTTGGTTTTGGGGCTTTTTTTTAGCAGCCCATTTGAATCAGTGCCTGTTTTTAGGAAGTGTGATTTTGGGATCTCTGCTTTTGGGAATAAGGTCCAGGCAAAGTGATTAAATTCATCATTTCCTAGCTTATTTCTGTATGCACTGAAGGAATCCCTAGTCATGGAGATGTTTTCCTTTGCCCTGCAGCCATTCTGAGCGAGCTGTTGCAGAGGGAGAATCGGGTCCTTCACTTCTGGACCCTGAAGAAGAGGAGATTAGATCAGTGCCAGCAATATGTTGTCTTTGAGCGCAGTGCCAAGCAGGTAGTGTGAAAACCCCCCTTATCCCTCTCTCCCAGCAATGTGTCAAATCTCCTGTATCCATGTAGTGCCTCTGTGGGGGGCTCCTGTTGCAATCTCAAGTTGTGTCTAAACACTGCAACTTTTGAAACCATGGCAAATAGAGATTTTAAAACAACTTAAGACAGTTCCAAAACCTGACAACAAGATTCACTATTTTGGTCACCTCAGATTAATTTCTGTATTTCTTAATTTGTTTGAAAATAAATATAAGATCAAACTTGTTTTATTGAGCTATTTCTGACTGAGAAAACTGCTTTCCCTGCCAATTTATCTGTATATAGATGGAATTCCCTACATTCCTTTTTGTCCTAGGAAATACAGAGTCCCATTTTGTATCCTTTCCCACCTTCTTTCATTATTTTATTATTTTTATGTGTTCCTAGAAAGTGTTTTAGTATACAGAGTATTAATCCCAATGCATTTGATATTCTTTGTTTGGCAGGTGGTTTTTTTGTCAGATGATTAATTCTTGAAATACAAAAACTGTTTATTTTGTTTTTCCTTTGGTGTTTTTGTCATTCACAGGCCTTAGACTGGATCCAAGAAACAGGCGAATATTACCTCTCTACTCACAACTCCACAGGGGAATCAGCAGAAGAAACTCAGGAACTCCTGAAAGAATATGGAGAATTCAGAGTACCTGCCAAAGTAAACAGTGACTATAATCTAATTATACCATCTGCTTTTGCCTGTATTTATTGTCTTGTTTCAATGCCTTAAATCTCTGTAATAATATTCCCTTGATTTTATAGTTGCCCTCTAAAAACCCTAGCCCTGAAGAGAAATAATTTTTGTGAACTTTTAGCAAGACACAGGCACAAAAAGGAGTTTTCTCCACCTTGGTTAGTACTGGTTATAGAAAATTTCTGTTCTGATCAAAAGGAAGAGAAAGTCCATCCTCATACAGAGTTCACAGCAATCTAATAAGACATTCCATCCTCAAGCAATCATTCCAGAATGGCACAGAGTGACTAATTGATCTGAACACACCCAAGGTCACCATGGACTCCTGGTCTCTTTCTTCTGTCTTTAAAACCACAATTTGTCTCACTAATTCCAGCTGGGTTGATCACAGATGATAATTCATCTCATTAGAAATAATCTGCTGATCCAAACAAAGCACTTTAAATAGATGAGTCTTTAAACTCTGGGGTGAACATTTTTGAATACAAAACTGCATTACCAAGAATATATTAATTTATATGGAGCAGTTCTGGGAAATCGGTGGGGTTTACACAGGAATGGTGATTGGATCTGCTTCAGACAAATTAATTCAAATCATAGGTAATTCATAGACAGTGAATCCACAGGGGTATTAAGAGTCTCTGATAAGGATGTAAATTGCAGAGTTGGACTGCAGGAAGACCATGGCTTTGGTATTATGTAGCTGAATTTCACTGTGTCCTGAAATTGATCTTCTGTAATCCTTAAATTCCTCCTTAGGCTGTCTGTGCTTGTATGGGTTTGATTTGCAGGCTCTGTGGTGTTCTTGTCCCCTTCTTTTAGCTTAACTTGCATGTTTCTGAAAATGTGAGATAGCTAGCAGTGGATGGAAGGTAATTCCTTCAGACAGGACACATATGAAATTCTTTCAAGTACTTCTGAATTCTAACCACGCATAATTACTCCACCTGAAATTACATTCTGGTTCATAATTTAATTTTTATCAGAATAATCCAAATTCATAATGAAGTTTCCAAACCATTTGGACTGTTGACTTAGCCTAGGATTGAATTTTAGACCTTGTTCATTATCAGCCATTACTGGCTGTTTCTTTCACTGACACATCTAAGTCTTGCTCCCTCAGGCTGTCCTACTGCTCCTACTGCTGATGTGGGATATTTTCACTGCCATGTGCAATCTGGTAAATGCATATCATTCCCAGACTGATGTTGTTCCCAAATTAAGCTGCAGCTGAAAGCCTTCCTGATCCCAGTAACTTTCTGGCCAAACCACTTGTGTGAAATGCAAAATCACCAGTAGCTTTTGAGAATTAATCTCCCTTTAATACGAAAGGAAGTTAGATTTTTACATCTCCATACCTAGCCTTGCTTAGGTACTCATTTAATTTGTTAGGATGATGTCTGATTCAGCTGTTAATCTATTATGGTGGTGAAATATCTTGAATTTAGTTTTGTGCTTGAAATCTGCTGGATGTTTTCTGGTCTGACGTGCATTTGTCCATTTGTGGTCAGATCACTGATAATGCCAAGCACCTGACACTCTGTCTTGCTCCAGGCAGGGGGGAACATCCTCTCTGTCTTTGACCACAGGCTTGCCAGTGCCTCATTTCCTGAGATAGATTTGGAACCAGAACTAAAGTCTATAACTAGGTCCTTTGTGCCAATTTTGACTAAGGGGCAGTTAGAGACTAAGTGGAATAGAAAAGACCAAAAGCAGTGTGTGCTTTGGAGTTCAGGCATTTTTTAGCTGGTGATGTTCTAACTGGACCTAAAATACTGATGGAAGATTTTATACTAGACTATTAATTTGGATTTAAATGCTGTTTGTTTTTGAAACAGACAAGTAATGACTCAAAATCACTTCCTGGGCTGATATGTGGTGTATTAATGACCTTCCTACATAGATCTGCAGATCCACCAGATATAGACTCAGAGTCCTTTGAGGTGTGATTTTAAAATCTTGTCTTCTACTCCAAGGCTCACCAAAAATAAGCTCTTGCTTATGAGAAGGAGGCGTGTATAACTTCCAACATGTTTTATGTGTTTGTGTCTGTGGGGTATCAAAAACTTGACTTTCTATCTTCTTCAGCTTCATAAGTGTCCTTATAAAAATGTCATTCCTTTCATGTTTTACTGAAAAAGTTTGAAGTGTCTGATTCTGTATAAGATGAAATACAGACACTTTTTAACGATGTATAAAAATTGTGAACTTCTTTTGATTGCTGTGTGAGTTAAAAGCAAAGGAAATAATAATAAAACATAACCAATGACCATATTTTGGGCAGCAAACAAAGGAGAAAGTGAAGCTTCTCATCCAGCTGGCTGACAGCTTTGTAGAAAAAGGACACATACACGCCACTGAAATTAGGAAGTGGGTCACCACCGTAGACAAGCGCTACCGGGACTTCTCTCTCAGGATGGGGAAATACCGTTACTCCCTGGAAAAAGCCCTTGGAATCAACCCAGAGGTACTGTAAGACCCAGTCCTGTTGGGGTTTTATACCAGAGTCACTGAGGAAAGTGAAGACTGTGGAATGAATGCTTTTGGTTTTTGTGTGCCCATTAGAAACACTGAAAACTCTGCCAGCCCACCTGGCCATGCTCTGCTTCTGGAGAAAAAGGGTTAAAGGGTTTTTCTGCAGTTGGTCAGTGATGTGAGGAGAGGCAGATGAAGATCAGAAATATTTTCTAAACATTTTCTAAATTTTTAGATTTTCCAAATGTTTGCACCATTTTTCAGGAAGAATGGGGGGAAAACACCTTAATGGAATTGAGTCTGTGTCAATTTCGGTATAAACCATAAATCCTGCTCCCACACCATTATTTTGCAACCAATACAAACTTTGGCTCTAATTTTTTATTCTCTCATCCTTTAACTAACATAAACAATTGATCCCCAACCTCATCTCTGAATTCTTTTAGGTGAAGTAGAGCATCACAAGAAGCAAAAATTAGGGTTTCCTGCTATTCCCTGGCCATAATAATAAGGGAGAGTGCCAGAAGCAGAAACACTTAAAAACCTTTCAGTCAATGACTCTTTGGAATTAAGTATCAAGAATAAGGAATAAATTCCCTCACACTCTGATGATACTTTAAGTGCACTGTTCCTTGTAGGGTCTTTGGTTTACACAGAGTTCTAACTACAGCCTGGAAAGGTGTCCCATGGTAAATGGCCACTGAAAGTTGTCTCTGCATGGTGCTCTATTCATCAGACTGGTTTTTGTGAAGTCCCATACTAGACAACTAATTTAGATATAAAAGAGTAAGGTAATTTAGACTTATCAGTATTGATTCTTAGTTAGGAAAAACAGTGAAGATTACAATGAATATAATTTCTGGGTTTTTTAAGATTTATCTCTCAGCTTTTTTATCTCTTCTCACAGTACTCCTATTTCTCTCTAAATTTCCTCCTTCTCAATATTATCTTATTTTGTCCCTTCTTACCTCTCTGATCTCATGAACATGCTGCACTTTGCACAACAGTAGGATTACAATGAAGTTAGACTCTGTACTTTTTTTTTCCTAGGATAACAAAGACCTAGAACTAGATATCATTCCAGCAAGTCTTTCAGACCGGGAGGTAAAGCTGCGAGATGCAAATCATGAAGTCAATGAAGAGAAAAGGAAGTCAGCCAGAAAGAAAGAGTATGTTCCCAAACACTCTGTCTGCATGGCACATTATCTGCTAAAGAATAATTTTGTGATAGTTGCATGACCAGCACTGACTGACAGTCCTGTAACTCCTTCCAGCTGCAGAACTATTGAGATAAGTCTGCAGGTGTAGGGCAGAAGTCGTTACTTGTAGGATAGAGAATTTCAGAACATAAAGGTTGAATTTCTTTTGGTTTTAATCAGAAGTTAGAAAAGGAAAGTAGTGAGTCAAGCACTTGGATTAACCCTGATGTTGTGGAGTTGCTAATTTCTTTCTGGTTTTATGTAAAAAGTAACATGAGTAGGAAAAAATAAAGAGCATCTTTAGATCTCTAAGTATTATCTAAACATCAGTGACCAAGAGTTCACTTCAGGTTTAGGTTCAAATTTCAGCAAGTGTAGGACTGAGAGAAGTGGAAATAGTTCATACTAGAGAAAATGATTGAGAGATGCTTGTTGCACTTAAATCCATGAACAGTCTGTTTTCAGAGTGGTCTGTCTTATTTTTTATGTAAGAATATTGGGAAAGTGTTTCTCAGCCCTCTGAAATTGTCACAGGTCATGACTGATAAGAAACCACTTATACTTTAGAAAATATTACATTTGGTCTGCCTGTGGCAAATTTCAGGAATTTCAACTTTGAGGGGCCCAGCCTCAGGCTCTGTAGATGCCATTATTGCATTTCACAGAATCTGGATTTTCTCTGGTCAGATACCAAGTTGTTGAAGTCTCTTCAAAGTAGTGGTGTCTCCCAAATCCATCTGTTGCCTCTGAAGGTAAAGTTTTAGGGTGACTTCCCACTGACTGTCAGCAAAGGTGCAAATGTTGGTGAATCACAATTCCCTAATCCTGGGTGGAAAGAATTTCTGAGAACCAGCTGATAGTTAAAGATAGGCATGTAGATGGTAAATCCCACAGACTCAGGAATACAACTTAATAGGATTTTGTGCAGAAAAGCTATTTAGAAAATAACTCAAGAAGGGACTGGAGTATGAAGTGCTATTTTGGTCATGGACCTGAAAGGTGCAAAGTAAGGCAGCTGAATATCTAGGGTGGAAATTCCTTTATTCTTTAAAACAACAAGAGGATGTTTTGTTTTCTGTTCATTGTAGAAATGTTTATAATGTACAAAACACCTGAAATACTCCTTTTTTCAGATTCATTATGGCTGAGCTGCTGCAGACAGAAAAAGCTTATGTCAGGGATTTACATGAATGTTTAGAGGTGAGTTATGGCCCAGGAGCTCTCCAGTATTTCCTGGAAGCACACATTGTCCTTTGCAATGGGGATGTTCACTTTAATGCACAGGCTGTGCAGATTGATTCATGGAGCCTTGTCCTTAAAGATTCAAATCTGTTCCTTTGAATCATCTCATACTAGAGAAACTTCTGGATTTGCACAGTCAAATACCTTGCCTAGCTGTAAGCAGGGTGTTCCTAAAGTGGATGGTGATATTCAAGGCAAAACCCAGAGTGTAATTCAGTGAAACCTGTGAGCTTTCACATTCCTGCAGTCTGACAGAGATTTTTGTGTATCTAATGCTACTGGAGTGGCAAATCTGGCTTATCGTTCAGCTGTTTCTGCCTGCAGTTTTTGGACACCATCAGGTGGACAGCAAAGACAGGTGTTGTTGACATGGTTCTGCTTTTTCCTCAGACAACTTCGAAGTATCAGCACTTTGAATTTTTCTGGAGAGCTTTCTGTAACATTGGAACTTTTTTTTGGCTTGTTTATTTAATCTCAAAGTACATAGTTCCTGTTCAGCCTGTGCCTTTGGCAATAAAACAGGGAGATCTATTATTTTCCACTGCATTTATTCACAAAATTAAGAGTTTCTGGTGTCTTCCAGACTTACCTTTGGGAAATGACAAGTGGAGTGGAAGAAATACCAGCTGGGATCCTTAATAAAGAACACATCATCTTTGGCAATATTCAGGAGATCTATGACTTCCATAACAAGTAGGTTTTCTTACCAGTTCTGTTAATGTTTAGGCACTTGTGCATCTCTGTGGTGTCTGCAGAAAACCCCTACAGTACAATGCACACCTGAGTGTAAAGTAATTGATTTTGCAAAATAATGTTTGATATCTTGTTTTGTTTCTTTTGCCAAAAAGAACTGCAAATTAGTTCAAACTTCACCTTCAGCTGATTATCAATGTTAAAGTCATATTACACCAGTGCTTTGCAGATACCTGCTTTCCATCTCACATAACGAGGTCTAGTTTGGATGCTTGCCTGTCAAAAATATGATCTTGGAAAACACAAAGGGGAGAAAGAGGAATTGTTGGCATGAGCTGGGTTAATAAGTAGCTTCTGCCACTTCTTGGAGACTTTCTGTATTTAATCTGTAACTAACAGTGCTCCATCTTGTTAAGATAAGACTGTGTACCAGATCAGCTTAGAGGGCATTGTTTCCATGGTGTAATGTGAATGCAACAACAGTTATAAACTTAACATTCAGGGGTGCTGGATCCAACAAGTTCAGCCTGAATTCCAAATCTGTCTTCAGGTTACACTTTAAAAACAAATCAGAGAATCCTTCCCTGTTCGAGTTCTGGGACATTTCAAGTGCTTCAGTCAGATAAATGTGCCATCACATAAATACAGCCCAGCAGAGCATGCCATATGCATGCTTTTGTGCAAGCAGCTTCAAAGGATATCAGGATATTTTTATATCATATCATATTTTATCATATCATATTTTGTTCTGGTCACCCTGACTGATGCCATCTCATTACCCTCCTTTTTCAGTTTCCACTGTTCCCAGCTCCCTTCCTTCCAGCCCTCACTCATGTCCCACAGATGTCACTGCTCTCATTTCCCTTTTCTCTGACTCCTCCTCCTGCAGCCTGCTGCTTCTACATAATCTTTTTCCTCTAAAATTTCTTCCTAGCAATGCTAAAATAAATTTCCCCTGTCCCCTCCACCAGTGTCCTCCCCAGCCTCCTCCTTTGGCTGGTGATGTTAAGGCATCCTCCAGCCTGATTCAGAATCCATGTCCAAGGAAGGGTAGCAAAGCTGGAGAATGGTCCAGAAAAAACATGTTCTAGGAGGAGCAGCTGAAGAAACTCTTTCATATTCTTCTTTCCACCCAGGCATTGTACAGGACTCTATTTGAAAACAGGTGTCACTTGTGGTACAAACTGTTCAGAGAGAGCTGATTTTAAAAATCTGTATTTTGAAAGTTGACTACTTACCTATGAAATGCTGAGCTTGTTTAAGTTGTTGTCCTTTGTCCAGTGTGGTGAGCTGGGTGTTGGGAACCTGGCAGCTTTGGGCTTCCCTTGTTGCTCTTTGTCTGAACCACTACACAAGAACTCTTTGAAGATCTTTGTTCAGATAGAAAAGTCCTGAGCACACTGACTCCCTGCTAGGGATTGCCTCTTTTTCCTTTCTGGTGGAGTTAGGCATGACTGTGCTCAAAAAACCAAGCACATATTGGCAAGTGACACTTTTCCTGCTGGGTGGACACTTGGGTGGTCTCATAATCAAGATACAAGTATTGATCATTAGCACTGATTAACTCATTGGTTATCCTGCATCTCCTGGGTATTTGACTGGAACTAATTACATTGGTGTCTGCTTTTTTCAGCATTTTTCTAAAGGAGCTGGAGAAATATGAACAACTGCCTGAGGATGTGGGCCACTGCTTTGTCACCTGGGTAATGAGGCTGCTGCTTCTCATAATTTATTCAAATTAATTCCTCCAGCACAGACTGGAACAAGCTGGGAATAGGTGGAAGGGTTATGTCCCCAGTGATAAATGAGATTAGGAGCTAGTCTGGAACTATAACTGCTTTGTCCTTCACCTGCCCAGGGTGAAAGTTTCCACCCTTCACCTCAGCAATAGTGTGAAGGCTTTCCAGAGCCTCTCTCCTTGTCCTGTACTGACCACACAGCTTTTATTTACCTCTGCTGGTTTCTTTTTAGCAGAACTTCATCAAACCAAACCCGTTTTTAGGGGTGACATTCATTTTTCTGTGAAAGGCCCTGGGAGGACAGACATTTAAAATCTTAATATACCTTCCTTAAAGAATTTTAGTCATGCCTGAGAACTCCACAAAGGCATGAAGAATATATTTTATCGACTTTTTTCCTCCAGAAATTAGTGTCAAATTTCTGAGCCACTGTGCTCACTCATTCCATTATGCAATGCCAGGATAATTTCCAACAGGACTTTGAAATCTTGATGCAGAGTGTCTTTGTGAGCGTAGGAGGCTCTGAGAATTGGCTACAGTAATTTATCTGTATGAAAGCTGTTCTCTTTTCAAAATATTTACCAGTCAAGTCGGCCATCTTTGTGTTTTGTCTGATTGTTTTATTCATATATCAAAGCCAGGAATTAGTATTTTAAGAGAAAAGATGGAATATTTTCACTTATCCAAAAAATGAGCATGTTTAGAGGATTTCAGATGGGCTTTTAATTTAAAAATATGTCACGAGTCTTGATGAAATGGATTCAGAAATATTGTTTACAAAGAACAGATTGCCTGTTTAGGAAAGGTGAATGCATTTATGTATCAGTCTCTGCAAAATCTTCATGGTGATTTAAGGTACTACTGCATCATCTCAACAAAGGTACATGTCCAGAGCTCTGTGTGTGGTTACAGATGTGCATACAAAGCTGCCTGCACAATTGCAGGATCCTGTTGTTTAGATATCTGGAATAAAAAAATGCAATAGCAATAAAAGGAAAACATCCTCCTCTTTTATTTGCCTCCCTCTTCTTGAGACCAGAGTACATTAATAAGAGGTGGGAGTGCATAGATGCTTTTAATTTCTGCTTAAAAGTAAACAAATTAGGAAATAAAATGTAAACAGCATAAAATTTGAGCCACTGAAGTTTGAACCAAAGTAGGAAAGGCAATTCTGGGCCAAGTGTCACAAGTTTCAAGTAAAAAATGATGGCTTGTGCCAGTTTAGACTAGGTGAGTCACTTGCCCAGCTTCTAGACTGGCTTTATCTTCAAGTAGGTGATAGAGTCAACTCTTCATGACTGAGTTTTGAGACCTTCAAACTCTTGTGTAACATTCACAGAGCTGTTAGAAATTATTTTACAGCTGGATTAAAATTTTAGGCCTTCCCTCTGTGATATTTGTTAAAGAAAGCCTCCCACAGCCCTCAGAACTGCTCAAGTAAGGTATGAACCTTAAAGTCTTCTGCTCTTAATTTACAGTTCTTGTGCTGTTTGGTGGCAGAGTGGGGGTGGTGATGGTGGTGGGTGTGTGGGAGAGAGTTGTCACCTGTATTTGTCCTGGTGTGCCTTAATAAAAACCTGTGGGAACAGAGAAATAGCTTATCTTGCTTTTCCTTTGATGTTTGTTTTCACAGGCAGATAAATTTCAGATGTATGTGACCTACTGCAAAAACAAGCCTGACTCCAACCAGCTCATCCTGGAACATGCAGGGACTTTCTTTGATGTAAGCAGCATTGCTGTTTTCCTTACCTGGTGCAGCTCTGTGCTTTTTTACACTCGAGCTATGGGTTCCTTTCTGTGCCTTGGCATTTGGGTTTTCATTCCACTGCAAATATCACATGCTGTGAGCATTGATGGGCTTTGGTGTGGTGTGTGGTGAGGTGTGGAGACACATTCTTGTAGGAGCCTTTGGGCATTTTTCAGACCTAATCCTTTCTAAAGATCTGGTTTAGATGTAATCTCTGTTTCTGGGTTAGCGATAAAGTGAAAATCTCAGATTTCATTGTATATTATGACCTGAAGTCCCTAAATCTAAAATGAGCTCCTAGCCTCCTGTTCTGCAAATTCTACCCAGCCTATTCCACATTTACTTCATTGTGCTAATAAAGAACTCCATTGACTCAAATTAGAGTATTTCCTGTACAAGTGCTACAGCCAGTGATAAATGTTTTTTAGGCTCCAATTCCAATTTTGTAGGTTGACAAAAACTCAAGTTTTTAAGAACCTTTAAACCAAGCTCTTCCTCTTGTTTAACCTCATCCATTTTGCCATGCTTGTCTGCTACCTTATAGCTTTAATTAGTCATCTTCCTTAAAAAAAAAAAAACAACAAAAAAAAAAACAAAAAAAAAAAACAAAAACAAACAAACAAAAAAAAAACTAGGAAGACCTCTCTTCCAAAGCACTGAAAGTTTGCAAATGTAACAGATCAGCAGGATCCAAGCTGTGCTGGAGCTGGCAGCTGACATAAATCAGCTCCTCTGGAGTTTGTATGTGCCAATGGTTACAGCATTTCAGTCACACAACAATGAAAGGTCACACATGAGTCTCAGGAAAAGTGAACACCTTTTCCTTTTGCCTGGTTACCGAATGGTCTGAAAGTCGAGTGGAACTCACATGAGTCTCAGGAAAAGTGATGAACACCTTTTCCTTTTGCCTGGTTACCGAATGGTCTGAAAGTCGAGTGGAACTGGAAGGGGTTTTCCAGGAGGTGGCGCTTGAGCCTGTGGAATGGTTTACAATGGTTTCTACTGGTCGGCTGTTTGCACAGGTTAAAAGCTTTTCCACTGCAGCTCTCTGCATGGGCTGGAAAGCTGCCTGATATTGCTCAGTAGTGAATATTCGTGTGTCAGCAGCTGCTGTTTTGCCAGGAGAGGTGTTTTCCTTCCATGGGTGCTGGGCCATCACCCAGTGATGCCTGTGCAAAAACAGAAAGCTGACTCTCCCCCCGAAAAATCCTCAAGGAGGCACTCAGTGTGAGTGAGTAAAGTAATGCAAAGTACCTGTGGATCCTTCATACCTTGATCTTGGAGTGGCAGTAGTTCAGGGGCAGGACAGCCTGGCACAAGGAATACAGAGGAAATAGTTTGTTCTTTTTTTCCAGGCAGAACCTGAAATTTCCCAAAACCCTTATGATGAGAGTAAATTATCTAGAATAACACCCCTTAGTAAGAACCCTGCTTGAAAATCACACGTGTTTCTCAAATTTCATAAGCTTTCATAGAAAGCCACCTTTGAGATGAAAACAAGCAGTCCCAGTAATTTGTTTTAACCCTTCAAGCCCATGGAAAACTTGCAGCTACAGGGATCACTGAAAGGGTTAACTGATTAGGAGAAGAAGCAAAGATAGGTGACATATCTCATTTGAAACCATGAAGAGAATTCTGAGCTATGGTGAGAGCTGGGCTGCTCTCAGAATGTAAATGAAGCCATGTATGTAGAGAAAAGCGATGTATTTTATTGAACCAGTTGGGACGGGTGGAAAACAGTGCACAAACTGTCAGCTGGTTTATCCTACAGCACTGGTCTAATAAAGCATAAAGATTACCATCTTCCCTCCCTACAGATGGTGCTTTGCTTATAAAATTCAGAAGTTGTTGGTATGGTTATATTAGCTGGAAATTGCACAGGGAATGAGAAAAAGTGTGTTTATTCTGACTAAATTGCAGTAGACTTATTAATTTCACTCTTTCAGTTCTTATGTCTGTCTTGTTCATCATTACTTAAAACTGTGTTCTTTATTCAGTAGTTTGAAAGATAAATTATGCTTGCCATGTTTAGCAAATTTTAACATTTGTAATACCATGTACTTCAGGCTGGCAAGGTATATTTTTGATTACCAACATATGTTAGTTGTCAACTTCAATTGATAGAATCAGCATGTTATTGAAGTAATCAAGTTGATTTTAGTGTCTTTAGTTAAGCAAGTTCTGATCTTTGGGACAGAGTTTGGTTGAGACATGTACATGCTTCTTCTATTTGGAATACTTTTTTTGCTTTGAATCTTGGAAAATATATGGTTTCATATTCAAGAGCCACAGGGGACTTTTGATTTGCAGGACCAGCAAGGAAAAAGGTAAAGCTCAGTGACTTTGGGAGCATTGCAGAGCATGGTCATTTCTGCATGGATCAGGGTTCTTGGACAGCTTCTCTTCTGAGCCAGAATGTCCCTTTGAAAATGGGCAGAAGCACAAACAGGATCATACTCCAACACTTCAGGGACCAGAGGGAGGAGCTGCAGGGAGAGCATCCCTTCCCAGCGCTGGTCAAATGTCACTCCCCCAACCAGCTGTGTCTCTGCACAGTATGACCAGGGAGCATCCTGGCACAGCAAGGAGTGCCCAAAGGGGAGGCATCTTGCTGAGAGCATGCCCTGCTGTTCAGAGGGCTGGGGGGAAGGAGCAGGGCTAATTTTGTTACTCGGATCCTACAAAAACAAGTGTGCTTTGCCAGCTCCAGGAAGTTCACAGATGTGGCTGAGGTCTTGCTGGCTCCTGCAGTTGTGAATTCAGTCTCAGCCATGTGCTCTGCAGGCACAGTTCCTCTGTGGAGTCAGCTGTGACTCAGCGTCATGCAAACTCCATTAACCCCCAAACAGAGCCCCTTCCCTTTTGGGTCTTCTTCATGGCTATTTAAAAAGAAACCAAACCAACAAACCAAAAATCTGTTGGTACATTGCATGAAAAATGGATGTTTTTGCATCTCAGCATTAAGACAAACACTGGAGCTAAAAAGAAGCAGTAACCTCCTTAGTACTCAGCAGAAAATCAGATTGTATACAAAAGGAAAATCTGTTCTTGGCAGCTCTTCTCCCTTCACCTTCCATAACTTCTTCACTTTATAGTCTCAAATGTACAATCCAGTAGCTGGAGAAAAGTCTAATTCCCCTTTTCCATTTGCTTCTTTGGGGATCAAGGATTTCTTAGTGGCTAGGAACGAGGCAAGGCATGTCCAGGGCCTGGCAGAGACAGAAGGGTTTCCAATCTGTTCTATTTCAGCAGAGAACCTACCCCTGTAGGGCATGAGTTAGGAGTCTTTTAGATGGCTACATATGTTCATGAGGGTCCTATAGGATTTTCAGGAGCTCCTAACTCCTCCTGAAACAGCTGGGGGGAGGCAGCTGGGCCCTTTGCAGCCCTCAGCAGGTCTGTGACATCTCCAGCAATTTGTGAGCACATCACACTGCTCAGCCAAGACATTTTGGCTGAGGTTCAGGGGATGAAACAGTGCTGTAACAGGTGTCATGAGGGGATACCTCTCCTGGCCCCCAGGTGCCACCTCAAAGTAGAGCAGGTCTGTCAGTACCGTGTCAGACCTGTTATTCCCATGTGGATATTTCAGCCACCCCAGGGCTCTCAAATGGGACTCAATGCCTATGTTTAGACAGCTAAATTACACCCTACTCATGCAATTTAATTTAATGTCACTTCATTTTAATTGAATGTTAAGACTCTTCTTTCAGCCTTCATAGGTAGGGGAAACCAGATGACGTGACAGGTAAGTCATACTTGAATCAAGGCCTGTTTACTCAGCAGAGCTTTAGCTTGACTTGCAGAGGGACCCTGCAGTTTAAGTGGCCTTAGGGGGACTCTGCAGTTTATTGTCAGCCTCACTGAAACCACACTCATGTGCATGTAAGCTTAAAGAGTGTTAAAAAACTCTACATAGAATGCAGGGACCCAGTGCTAAATTTAGTTTTGGGTGGTTCTGTCTGGCAGGGGGTTAACAGTTTTCCATGACTGACTGCTGTTTTTATCCCTTCTAGGAAATCCAGCAAAGACATGGGCTGGCCAACTCCATCTCTTCTTATTTAATCAAGCCTGTCCAGAGGATCACAAAATACCAACTCCTGCTGAAGGTACCTCAGTGAGCTGCACACATCAGCTCGTGCAGAGCAGTTCACAGGTTCATGAGTTACCTTCTGCTTAAGGGAGCTGCTTCATAACCTGCAAGCACAAGTCCCTAGAAATCTTCCAAGGGCACAGTCTCCCTTGAGAGCACCTTTTTTTATCTTTATAGCTGTTCCTATTTGACCCCCACTATTTGTGAGCATCCACTGTGGGGTTTGCTGCAGTTCAGCTTTCTCCTTCTCTGAAGCAGCTTGCAGGGACCAAGTGGCACAGTTGGGTGTGAAGGCAGCACATGGATCAAAGTTTGTTTATGTCTGCATTGCTTCTTAGGAACTGCTGACCTGCTGTGAGGAGGGCAAAGGGGAGCTGAAGGATGGTCTGGAAGTGATGCTCAGTGTCCCAAAGAAGGCCAATGATGCAATGCACGTCAGCATGCTGGAAGGTGGGCAGGGACCTGCTGGGAAATGAAGTCTGTTTGTAACCTCTGGTGGAAGTTAGTAGAGGTTAACTGTAGCAATACTGTTTCTTCATTGTAATTTGTAGGTACCTCCTGGCTCCTTTCTGATATTTCTCCAAAAGTCTTGAAAGAATAAAGCTGGCTAGGAAGTTTGGGGGGGAGGGGGAGATATTGATCTGTATCTTTTGTGTGTCTATATATATACACATACATGTGGCATATTCATATGCAGTGTATGTGTACATATATATATTTAGCTAAAACATTCCTTCTCCATTAAACAAAAAAATCCCCTCCTGAAACAGTATCAGTTTAGCTGCTGACAGCTGTAAAAATTATTGGATGAAAACATTTCATAATACTGTTTCAACATTTGAAAAGTTCTGGTTTTCTGAGACAAAACAGCTTGTGTTTCAAAATGTTAGCATAGTTATGCCAGTGATTTTTTTTAAAAGCACTAAAAAAATGTTTTAAAACTACAAGGAAAAAGGTTTGATTGGCACAAAGTGGAGTCTTTTATTGGCTTATTATTGTGTGGAGTATTTCTGAAATGTAAAAATTTTATTCTGGACTGAGATGCTTTATTGTGTCTCACACATTTTCTTGGCCTGGGAAAATAATTTCAGCCTGGCTTGAAGAAAACCAATAAAGAAGCAGAATACTAAAACAAGTGAAAAAAGGGACTGGTGCCAGTAGCTGGGCAGCACAATAAGCTCAGGTGATTAAAATTGTAGGAGGGCAAACTGAATTTGTAATGAAGTGCATAGGATTTCTTGCAATGCAGTTCTGTGTACAGTAACCACTACTGAAACCTTCATATTATTATTTTTGAGTAATTATTTCAAGACTTCAGCAGCAGCCTTTTTTAGCCCATATGATGTATTTGACCTCCAATGAAGTAATTGCATTGCTGCAGTATAAAAAAAATATATTATCACTGGGGCAGTAGATAGTCATTATTGTCCTTTTAGAATATGAAGAAAAAAAAAATGAGAGGAAGACCCTTTTATTTCAAGTCTTGACTTTGGTGTTTCTGTGAATTATGTGTCTCAATAATAAATACAAGTGATTGTGTTCTGTGGTTTTAGGGTTTGATGAGAACCTTGATGTCCAGGGAGAGCTGATTCTTCAGGATTCCTTCCAAGTGTGGGATCCCAAGTCTCTCATTCGGAAAGGCCGTGAGAGGCATTTGTTTCTCTTTGAAATCTCTTTGGTGTTTAGCAAAGAGATCAAAGATTCTTCAGGACACACAAAATATGTTTACAAGAACAAGTTACTGGTAGGTGTGGCTGCTAAGAAAATATTCTGGGTGTTGTGTTTTTTGTAGGTAGAAGTGGTGTTTTGGAGGCTCACATGCCCCTGCTGGGTTGGGGATACTTTTGCCCCTGGAAGAGCTGGCCCTGAGTCCTGCAGGACTCACCTGGAAGTCAGCCTGCAGTGAGAGAGGTTTAAGGCAGTGAGATGTGAAGTGTGGGAGAAAATGTGTGCAGGATCACTCCAGCTATTCCACCCCACAGCTTTTCTGTTCCTTTCATCTGTGTATAGCAAATGGAGATAAAATCCTGTTCCCCTACCCATCTCAACCTCCCCACTTCTTCCTACAAGTTCAAAATTTTCTACAGTCATGAAGCTTCATATATATGAAATCTTTCATCATCTCTCCTCCACACTAGACCTCAGAACTGGGAGTGACTGAACATGTTGAAGGAGATCCCTGCAAATTTGCTTTGTGGTCTGGACGAACACCATCCTCAGACAATAAAACAGTGCTGAAAGTAAGTCTTTTCTGTTTGTTTTCTTTACCTTTAGCACTTCTAGTTCAGGCCTTGGGAGCCCTGCATGAAAGGTCAGTTTCTTCCCTCCTCATGTTCACATGACTTCCCTATCTGCCGGTGGGATCATGCCTGCATCAGGAGCAGCTGAGCTGTGAGGCCTCAGTAGCAATTGGGAAGTTGTGAGCCTTGCTGGAGTTGCATCTCCTCCTGCAGCCTGGGTTGAGCAGCTGCTCACTGACACAGGGCAGGTCTCAGGGCATTTGGCTGGGAGGTGGAATTCTCTTAGTCCTTTGCCACTGGTCTTATCAACAGCCAACCTCTTCCACAGACCTCCAGAGCTGACAGCCTGTTCTGTCAAGAGAGTCTCTGCTGAAGAATCCATGTTATAGTTGTTTTGTCTAAGGAATTCCCAGCTGTGCACTGATAACCTGTTTTCCCTCTGCAGAGCATGCTGTGTTGCTAGCATTAAATGTATTTATCCAGGGCTTAGCTGCTTTGCTGTTGCTTGCCAAGTAGGTCTGGTCAGAATGCTCTCAGTTCCCTGGGGTTACCAGGTACTCCAGCAGCTGCTGCAGTGCAGCAGAGAGGACAAACAGTTAATCATGACATTCATCAGCTGGCCATGTCTCCTCTACACAGGAGGTGGGAACATGATAAAGTCTCTATCTTTCTGCCTTGTGAAACTTTAGGCATCCAGTATTGAAACGAAACAGGAATGGATCAAAAATATCCGGGAAGTTATTCAAGAAAGGATCATTCATCTGAAAGGAGCTCTGAAAGAGCCCATTCAGCTCCCCAAGACACCAGCAAAGCAGAGAAACAACAGCAGAAGGTAATTTCAGTCATTCCCCACAACATGAAATCACTAGTGTGCTCTCAACCCACAGCAATGTGGTGACTTTCGACTTTTTACTGTTTTTTACTGTAGTCAAAGCAGTTTTCATTGTCTCTGCTTTTTTATGTTGTCTTGGCAAAAGTAGCTAGAAATCTTTTTTATGATATACATACAAAGAGCTTTCATTTTATGCTCCAAAGTATAGAGAGAAACAATAAAAATTCTTCAGAGTGCAAGGTTGTAGTTCTTTCCTAAAGTAGATTTTACTTCTTCGCATTTGAATGAAACCAGATTTTTTTTCCTTGTTTGGCAGGTTTTTTCCTTGTTTGGTAATCAAAATCATAGTTGATCCTAACAATATATTGAAGAATATATAGTGAATGATCTGTATTTCATCATCTAGTACAAACTTGTTTCAGCCTGCCAAGTAATAGTAAATATTTTTTGTCAATTTGTTTTATCCTGGATTAAATTACAGATGATGAATTGTTCTTTTTCCGTTGTGGCATTCCCAAAAGCCACCTGTAATTTGAGCATCTTCATTTCCTCATCAAATTTTATCCCACTTTTACTTCAGGCTGTGTTATAGAGACATCAAAGCATAAATAACCTAGTCACCCAGGAAACCTGTATCAAAGCAGAGATCCAGACATTTCCTCTAAGAACACACAAAAGTTTTCTTGTACGGGATGGAGACATATTTTTTCTTTGTCCCTAAGTATATATTTTGCATTATTTAAGTATTTACTTTGAAAGATCAATAAACATTTATGATAATTTTATCTGGACAGCCAAAGGAAAGAAAATGTGTTAGCAGCCTCAGTGAGGTAAATAGGTGGGACTCTATATTCTTTATCTATATTTGGATAGAATCTTTATGGCTTCGCATTAAATTCCTGAAGAAATTTAAACAAATGTTGTGATTATGTGCAAATCCAAACCCCACAGCTGAGAGTGACATCATTCTAAATTGCAATAGCTCTATAACATCATGGGCTGCCTTAGAGGGGTAATTTTAGCACAATCCAGCTCTGTCCTGCTGACTCAGCCCTTCTCAACTCCACCTCTCCCGTTGTGCTCACTGGTGGTGTGTTAAGGAATGTCATTGTTTGCCACTCACCTCTCTTGCAGAGATGGGATAGATGATGCAGACAGCCAAGGGGATGGCAGCAGTCAACCTGACACCATTTCCATTGCCTCCAGGACATCACAGAACACAGTGGACAGTGATAAGGTAGGACTGAAATGTGAAAATACCTGGCAGGTAATCGCCCCCAGAAAAATGTAAGTGAAAAGCAGAATAGAAGGCAAAACAAGGCAACCTCTCTTCTACGGAGTGAGCTGAAACTTGTATTCCCCTTCTTTAGGTTATTAAAACCCAGTCTGTTTCTGTGTGCTTGTCAGTACTACTCTTCACAGTAACACCTCTGTTACTGCTGGTTGTTTGTGGTTAATACACAGAGGTTCAACTGGCTCTGAAGGAAGAGCCCAGAGCAACCTTTTCTTGCCTAGTAAATCTTGTCCTGTGAGATCCAGCTTGTGAATGAGCAAACAGCTGGAGATGTCACATATTTCCCTCTCAGCTGAAATCAATTGTTTGCTGGAGGGAATGCAGGTGCTCACACACCAATTAATGCAGCAACACTGGGATCCTGGCTGGTATCTTGAGAGCCTGGGAGACCTACCATTTCCAGAGACTGTGATTCTGGACCCCTCTCCTCACAGACATATGCTGGAGCATATGGATGGCCCTGAGACATGCTAGATTGTGTTGGAATGCTGCGCACTGTCAGCACATACGTACTTGTCATTTTACTTGTCAGAAAATCTGAGTCCAGATCTTCAGCTCCACTAGGATGCCTCACTTGAATTTGTCACCCTGACACCTCCAGCTGTGCTCTTCCACTGAATTAGCAGTTCATTGTAGGAGAAAATGGGCAGTTAAAAATTATCTTAGCTACACTGATGGGGTTTGTCCTATCCCCTGGGAGAATGCCCATATTCTCTTCATGTATTGTTTTAAAATCACATGTAACTTGAAAAAAGCTGAATTCTCCCATGCTTTTATGGATTTACATATTTGCCAGGGATTTAATTATGCTGCCACTCAGACAAGGTAGAAGGGTGTCTTCACAAAATCAAAGTGCAAGCTTTAGTTGTAAAGTTCACAGGTAAGGTTCAGTGCAGACACTGTTTTGAAAGCTGGACTTAGAAATATAAGTTAATTGCAAATAAATTATCTTTGTAAGATCATATGTTGTATTTATCTTAAATGCATATCCCCATGATTTAACTTTTTTGTCCAATAATGTGCATTAGAAAAGTACTAAGCCTCACAATCCAAAGGCCACTGTAATGTATGCAAATACTTTGCCCGATATCTGAGAAGTCTTCAATCCACATGGACTTGTCTTACTTTGTGTTTTTCACATTTATCATTCCTGCTAAAAGGCCCTGATTTAGTGCAGTACTTGAGCTCATGCTTAATTTTAAGCACTCGCCTAAGCTTTGCTCGTTCCCCCAGCCCCTTGTCTCGGCTGCATGAATTCTGGCCACGTCTAGGTGAGATGCTCCATGTTGCATGCTGCAGCTGCATACAAGGGCTATGGTGCCAACACAGGCTGTGTACCCTGAAAGACAGCCCATCGTGGCAGGAGTTGGTTTTATGATGCAAGACTGGAAACATTTGTAGGAATTTCTATCCAGAACCTTGTTTGAACTGAACAGCAAATGTGTATGAGATAAACTGAGAAAAGATCGTACAGGAAAAAAGTTGTTACCACTGGGGAAAGGGTTGTGTCATGCTTTTAACTTTTTTGGTGTGGGTAGGTTCACTTGCTGACTTAAGGCTGTGTGGTTTTGTGTCCTGTTATACATTTAATGAATAGAAACAAATTTGAATGTACAGCTAAGGCTAAAGGTTGCTTGTATGTGCTTTGTTGAACCTGAGGTAGCAGTGTATCACCCTTAACTCAAGAGGCAGTTCCTGCTGAACAGTTTCCTTATTGTCTCTGATGCTAATGCCAGAATACTGTGGAGAATTCAATTCCTAGAGTGCTGTATTATCATGTCTTTGCTCCAAGGAGAATGAACTCCCTGCATCTCTTCATAGCTCCCATTTTTTCTGCACAGTGTTACCCAGATTAGTGGCAGATGAAGCTGAGCTGCCTTGCCTCCTGCTGAACTGGCAGAGTCTCCCCCGTGCTCAGTGTCCGCTCAGACATCGGGCTCACCTGCTGGCACCTGCTGTGCAGGGACTGTCTTGTCAGCACATCCAAAGCTCTGAAAGGACTCCTAACAGTGACATTTTACCACATGGGATTTTCTCCTTCAGTGTGTAATTGAGTTTTTCTTCTAGGAGGGTCGGAATGAAATGTGATTGGACTGGGAGGTTTATATTCTCACATGGACGGGTGCTAGTTATCAGCACTGGAAGGCAGGACCATATCATGCTGTTCAGGCTGGTTTTCTTGGCAGAGCTGACAGTTCATGGCACACACTGGAGCATGCATGCTATAGTTAACTCCTGTGGGGCTGATGGCAACTCCATTGAGCACAGGGCTCAGCAATCAGAAGTTTCCCTGCCTGTTTAACTCCAGCATAGCCAGCAGACTTATTCCCATGAGTTCATATTCAAGCTGAGAAGCTTTTTGCAGCTGCAGCCTGCATAGGTGACTTTTCTATGTGCCCCAGTGAGATCTCCATCCAGAGAAGCCAATAAAGAGAGCTCCCAACTTTAGAAACTGGCTGTTCACAGCAGCCTCATCTGCAAACCCATGCCAAGAGCTTTGCAGTGCCAGCAGTGTGCCAGGATGGCACCAGATTCATCCTGCCTTGGGACCATCTATGTATTAACTCCATGCCAGAAGCAATTCTCAAGTAGCATGTAAGAGATTATATTACTCCCTGAAGCCAAAAACATTCAAAGATTTAGCTGACACACTTTGTCCTTTCCCTAAACCTTGCTATTATGCCTGAGGATTGCCTAACACATTAGTTGGATGCTCAGACAACGTCAAACAACATTTTAGACAAAGAAAATCACAACTTCTCAAAGACTCATTTTCAAGTAGCACTTCTGCTTAACAACACTCCTCATGCCTCAAGTCATATGTATTTCTTTCAACTTATTTGTGAGTCAACTCCTCCTGAGTTGTAAGTAGCAATTTCTGTTTTCTCTCACCATGGCACAGCCCTGGAGCTAAGCTTTACTTTCACATTTCAAACTCCTAAAAAGACAAAAAGGTTTTTTGTTGTTAACTGGAAATGAAATAGCCTTACTGTAAATTTTGCAAGGATTTGTTTTCTCTCAAGACATGTGAATGTGGCCATAACATTTATCAGGGGGATCCTTTGGTGCAGAGGATAGAGCACTTCAACTGAGGGTTGTCCTGGTTCTGCTCTGTCACTCACGTGTTGGATGCCATCACAAAGTACATTTGATGGCACATTACGCTTTCCTTTTTTCACCTGGTTTGGATGAGGAATTTGCAGGAGGAGACACAATTCTTGCAAACATTACATTTGTACATTAATTACAGCATTGTTCTCCATTGTCCCAACACATGATGCAGGCCTGAATTCAGACCTGTTTTTGTAGCCTTTATGGTGGCAGACTCTGCTTTGAAAATATTCAGGGTTATGTGCTTGACCCCAGAAGTGTTATTAAGCCTTTAAGTGTGCAGACTTGCCTGACTGCAGGCAGTGGTCAGGTAATTATACATAAAGACTTTTCAGATTAAAAAAAAATAATAACAGTGTCCTGGTCTGTTTAAATTAAATACCTGATTAAGTAGCTTCTTAAATCTGAATATGAGTATTTAGTATCTTTACTTTCCTTGGGCTTTTCTCTGTCAAAAATATGTAAATCAATTATCTGCAGGCTCAAACATTTCATTTCATTAAGTACTATATTGTAGAAACACAGACTTCAAGTGAGGTCTGTAGGTCTGTACCTTTGTAAAATGAAAGAAGGAGAGAACAAAAAATGTTTCTTTTTCCATTTGCAATCCATTACTACTTCTATATGCAATCTATAATCTAAGATATTTCCTATACAGGAAAATAATTATTTGGATTGTCATTTGGATTGTGTCAGTTTTATATAGAGGGGGAAATGGGCTGATGACACAGACTCAGTGCTAAAGAATCAATAGATAATGAATACTATTACAGTAATTTCAATTCCCATTGAGCATCCAGGTCAGGTCCTAGGTAACCTCCTACACAAAATTTCTTCATCCTTTTCCAAAAGGCAAAGAAGACAGCTTTTGTTCTATACAGTAAGCCCTCTTCAGCTTGCTATCTAAAATCCTCTCCTTAGAGAGAAATCCTTGCCCTATTCACAGCAGACAGGATTTCAGTCTTTATATTTGGATTCAAAGCAGTGGGGAATTGCATAAAGGAAATGTTACATGCAGGGCATTCTCATTTGTTAAGCCCATTGAGCTGTTGGCTTGTGGAACAGCTGTTTCTGGTGATACTGGTCCAGCTTCCAATGGCCTTCTTTTTGTTGGCTTTTGCAGAATACTGAGCAGAGCAGTTCTCATTTCCTTCTGTTGTTTTTGGATATGGAAAAAGGCTCTGAAATGTGAACTGAAAACGTTTTGCTCTCTAAAAATAAATCTACATTATACACTTTTATCATTTCCATTAGATACGGTACTCAGCTCATCTTTCAGCAGCCATGAGTCTGAGATCTTGACCTCTTCCACTTTGGTGGTATTATATAAAATCTGGGAATAATCATTCTTCTAATTGAAGGTAATTTGTACAAGAGGGGAGATTTTAGAATTAAGGCTTATTGGAACAAGTCACTTAGGGGCAAATTCTCTTTTCTTGAGAAGTTTCTAATCAAGGTGAAACAGCTTTGGTATTGTTACTGAAGCGGGAAGCGCTCGCTCACTGCCGGTGAGCTCTGTGTTGAGTCTCGTGCAAGAGACACATTTCTACTGCAGTGCTGGGGGAATATCAAGGGGCAGGGGCTGTTGACCCCCAGCAGTGTTTGTGTATGGCCAAAACATGTCTCACCGTGGACTGGAGTGTGTGCAGCACCTGGGCAGTGCGACTGACCGGAACAGCAAACACCCGTCAGTGGAAAAATCTCTCTGCCAATGGTTAGTGGGTGCTGTGTGCTGCAGCTGAGGGGAAAGGAGATGGAAGGTGCAATGTAAACTCTGTGGCAGAGCCAAGGGAGAGCAGGATCAGGGGAATATGGAGTGGGTGGTGAAGCAG